GATCCGAAAATGCCGTCGGAAGGGTACCAGTTCATGACGGATGGAACCAAGAAAAGGAATAGTGATGTCCGAGTAACGGATATACTGTTAGTGGATATGTACATATGGATTTTGAAAATGGTATAACCACTACTTGTAGAAAATCTGAGGTTTCGAACTCTTCATTCCATCTCACTCAGTTGCAGTGGCATCTGAGTCAAATTGATACAAATGGTAGATAATTTATTTTGGTTGATATTAATAGTTTTTGTGGATACATTTTGCTAAATATAGAAGATTTCCGAAAATTTATGAAGAAAGGGTGTAAAGCACATTTTTTTCTCCCACAATTGAAGGCACTGCTTATTTTGTTTGATAGGAAATGAGTATAAATGATAGTATAACATAAGCATTTTGGTAATTGAACTCAAGGATGGGAGTTGGATTAGGGTATGAGTTTGACATGAAAATGTATTTGTTTTAATGCTTTTCTGCATTTGGAGGATCATACTCCGTACCCAAGTTGGAATATTTTCAAAACACAGTATCATACATGTAAACTTTAAGAAAAATGACTAGTCGGAGTAAAATGGTACTCTTGTACTTTTTTGAACTTTTCGTTCTATGCAATGAACTGTCTTAACAAGAATATCATTGTTGTTTTTTTCCTTTTAGTCCTTTAGAACTAGATTTTATGAAAATCCAAGTTGACTAAGTTTTTTCTTGCTGCAGGAGCTTCCCAAGAGGATGCTTGGTTCGATTCAGTTAGTATTCTTGAATCTGATTCAGATGATGATTTCATCAGCATTCAAGGAGGTAACCTACATTTCAACCTTTATTTGCTGATAATTTAAAGTTCTGTAATAGAAAATAAAGCATGATGATATAGCAATGGAACAATTTGGAGCTGAACTATCAATCATCGTATAAAACTAGTAATTATCTCGTCTTAGTTTTTCCATATCTGAAGAATTTTAGACAATGGTGGCTAAATATATCACAAACTTATTGCTTATTTTCTCGGTGTATTACATCATAGAGTTTGCTTTGCTTAGTACTCTACCTTGTGAAATGTTTAGTTGTGTGCACAATTCTATGCATGTAATTTTGAATGGACAATGAGAAGATTAATCATCTGTGACCGTCTTATATATGTAATTTGTCCGGACTTTCTTTTCCAGATGGTTTTCCATTGGGTAATGCCATTGGGAATATGTCAAGTGGTCAGCTGCTTCAGTATGACGGAAAGGCTGATGAAATTTGTAATAGGAAGAAGAAACCGTTAGATCATCGTTATGGAAGCTTTAAAGGTCCAAAAGAGGATAGGCGTAATTCCGAAGAGAAAAACTTAAGATCGGGATTATCGAGAATGATCCCTTCTGTGAGTTTCAATGAGAAGATTTTAACATCTGGTACGACTCCACAATCCCAAAGAAAGAAATCAGCTGTTTTAAGGCTTTCTTTTAAAAGGAGGTTGTGTGATGCAGATGACAAACTTGAAGACTGTAAGTAATTTGGGTTAAGTTTATTTCCAAAGTTCTATTAGTATTTTATTGAGTTCAAAGATTACTCCTAAAGTATAAATTTTATGTATAATATCAACTTCATCTATAACAGGTACATCAAAACGGTTTTTATGTCGTCCCAGAGCAGGATATATAATTCCATGGAGTAAGGATGAGAAGGCTAGTCGAGGATATTGGTCCGAGATTCCACCCTCAACTTTTAAACTTCGAGGCGAAACCTATTTCAAGTATGCTAGTGATTCTCACCCTTGACTTATCTTATGTGTCAGTAGTTTTCTATTGAAGTTCACTATTGATGATTTATTTTCTGTACAGAGATAAACGGAAGTGTCCAGCGCCGCATTTCTCGCCGTATACTCCTATAGGTGTTGACTTGTTTATCTGCCCAAGAAAGATAAATCATATTGCCCAACATATCGAGCTTCCTAATGTAAAAGCAAACGGGAAAGTCCCCCCTCTTCTAATTGTTAATATTCAGGTATATTGCCCTGCAGTTTAATCATTAATAAAAATGCTTCCCGGCGATTTCTTTTTAGCGATTTGTATCATCTCATGTCTTCTCTTGCAGTTGCCAACTTATCCTGCTGCAATGTTCCTCGGTGATGGTGATGGTGAAGGAATGAGTCTTGTTCTTTATTTCAAAGTTCACGAGAATTTTGATGGACTCATCTCTCCACAATATCAGGAGAGCATCAAGGTAACATTATAGCATTCCACATTTGGAAAGCGTATATTTATTTAATTTGTATAATATTCATGTTATGCCCTCAGCCAGCTATATTTCTATAGCTCCCAGGGCATAGTGTGGTCTAAGGTATAAAATGAGGATAAGCATCAGTAATATCCATAGTTTCGGTAATAGAAGGGTACCTAATCCGGTTTCTCAGGTTAAATGATTCTTAGCTATTCCTCTTTGCTGCTAGAGAATACACTTAGCATATTGAACTAAAATCTTGTACTCACTTGGGTGGTAGTTTTTTCCGATATTGCTTCGACTCTTCATAGATATTTGAAGTATTTGTGTTGATGCCGATGTCTGACTTGAGGATGAAGATATCACATGAAAAATGTTTAAAAAAACATATAACGAATCGTGGTGGAGATGTACCTATATCTCAGATCTCAAAATTCAAGTAACATAGATTTAGATGTATGTTTTAGCTTCACTGTCTTGGCATCACATGCATGCCCTGTGTTTTTAGAGTATTTAGTAGTTCTAGTTTGGCAGATAATGTGAAAATTGAATTAAAAGAAAGGGATAAACTTATTTTTTCGGTCTATGCTAAGTTGTTTCCAGTTCATTCATCCAATATTAGCCACTTCTTCTTTTCTCTCTCACATTTTGCAACGTCTGTTGATAATTTCTGCTTTTGCTCCAGAAATTGGTCAATGATGAGATGGAAAAGGTTAAAGGGTTCGCAATAGACTCGATCGTTCCCTTCAGAGAAAGGCTAAAGATCATGGCCGGTTTGGTTAATCCCGATGATCTCAATTTGAGTTCTACCGAGAAGAAACTCGTAAATGCTTATAATGAAAAGCCGGTTCTCTCACGTCCTCAGCATAATTTTTATAAGGTATAGCACATAAGTTTCTACTTTGTTCATTGGGTTTATTAGTGTTTAGTTGAGCCGATAGTTTACATACTCGGACAGCACTACTAAGTCATTCTCAGGATCGGTTACGAGGATGTTGATTCTATAGCTCTCACGCAGGGTTCTAATTACTTTGAGATCGATCTGGACATCCATCGCTTCAGTTACATATCGAGAAAGGGGCTTGAGTCGTTTCGAGATCGATTGAAAAACGGAATTCTTGATCTGGGTTTAACCGTCCAGGTAAATACGGGATCTTTGTTAGATCGATCTAGTTTAGGCTTTACAAACCTGCATAACCGACTTAGATCGAAGTGATCTAATTGACTTAATGTCATTCCGGTCAAGCAAATTCGTTGTAATCGACTTCTGTGCAGCACTTACCTCAAAATGATCGATGTTTAACGTTGGATTAATGATCTTTGCCTTCTATTGACAGGCGCAAAAACAAGAGGAACTTCCGGAGCAAGTATTGTGCTGTTTGAGACTCAACAAGATCGACTTTTCCGATCATGGCCACATACCGACACTTCGGACGGCTCTGGATGCTTAATGAGGTCGTCGTGGTCGAAGAGCAGGATACCGAATTTAGAAACTCGTATGGAGGGATCAATTTCATTTTGTTGAACCTCACACATTGTAATACCAGCTTTACTGGAAATATATTTAATGGATTGCTTGATTTCTCGTTACACCACCAAAACGGTATTACATTATATCGTTTCAATTTTCATACCGATCCGTATCAACTCGTGCTTATGGGCATGATTTTGATATTTTTATTCAATTTTCTATTGTAATAAGCATCCTAAAGCTAATTTCATGTCAACTATTTTGGAACAAAAAGGAAATGAAAAAACCACACCAATAATTTAAGAAGAAATGGAATATGAATCGATTTTGATTCGGTTTCACAATTGATGAAGGAATTGTCTTGAGTTGGATCTCGATTCCGAAACTACCAGATTCGAACAAATGCATCCCACACTGCAGCAATGGCAAGAGCAGCTGGTAAAACAAGCTGGCCTCTGTAGACAACGGTACTCAGTGAGGAGCCACTTTTTTCATCCAACGGAGCACCTTTAGGAGGTGGAGGCGGGTTCTCGACTCGGACTGCTAGCTTCATGCCTCCGTAGCAGAACCCTTTGCCGCTAATGAAATAGTAATGGCGAGTCACGTTAAGCGGAACCACATCCCTTCCGGCTCCGGTGGTCCAGTTGTGAAGTGGATGATCGGAATTGCATGACTCGTAGTCCGTCTTGTTTACCTCTAGCACGTTCATCTGGTTCCGATCGTATACGAAAACTGGGAAATAAACAAACAAACAAACACAAACACAATCAGATGCATGGTTAACTATCAGCCACGTTTTTTAAAAACTATAACTTCAATCAACTGTGACACAAAAACAGGTTCTGCAGCAACTTAATGGTCTCAGCTCTAGGGCTCAGGGGCGTGTGTCATACATTTTGGAGGACCATTCCCATATTCGAATATGTGTTCGACATGAAATTAGTTACTAGTTACTCGAACTCGGACATGAATACTTCAAGAAAAATGAAGATTCGGAATAACATGGATCCAGTGCTTAGAGAGGCTTGTCAGAGGGTTTTGAAGAACAAAATGATTTCATTTTACATAAACATGAACTATGAGTCTCAACTACAGAAGCAACCAAAGTAAAATTTCCGGAACAAAGGAAAACTTTAAAAACTTTTCCCCCCACTTTCCGTCATATTTCTGCATTTTCTGGGCCAGATAAAGTATGGACTTTAACATCAATTTGAAGACAATAAACACACAAAAAGCACAATTAGAAACTCCATTCTTTTAAACCTGTATTAAATCATTCTCTTTTCTAAAATTCAACGTCAACAAAGTGATAAAAAAAGCGAGAATATTCAAAAACTAGCAGGTAAACTGTAGCTTTCCAGGGAAACAAACACAAAAATGCAAGATTTGAGACTATCAATTCATTTGAAAACAACCCATGTCCAGATCTATCAATTTATCAACCACAAAACAAGCAAAAATGGCTATAACCAGAAAAAGAAAGAAAAGAATAGTGTAAAGTAGATCTAAAGAAAGATGGAGAGATAAGAAATTACAGAGCCAGTCGCCATTGTAGAAATGCTTTCCTTTAGCCCAGACAGTGTAATTGACATTAGTGGTCCAACCAACGCCTCCCCCTCCCACAATAAACCTTGTAGCATCGGCCTCTGGAACCATTAACACTAAAGCTAATCCCAGAGCTGCCATTGCCATCGTCATCACTTTGCTTCTCTCCATTGCTGAGTTTGTTTTCTTTTGGTTTGCTGTGAATTGGCTTTGGAATTGCTTTTGATTATGAGTATATAAGCAAATAGATAGCCAGCTAATGGTTACCATTAAAAGAAAAAACTTTTTTTCTCTGGGTTTGGGGCAGTTTCTAGATCCATAACTGGTCCAGATTTTTTTTATCTGGATAGCGTAACATGGGTTAAACAAAACTTTTATTTTTTTTATATATTTATTTTTCCATTAGTTGAGATTAAATATTATAATTTAATTATTTATTTACAAAATTAATATTCAAATGGTTAACTTTACTATAAAAAAATCTCTTATTTTATGTTTCACAAATTAATTCACAGTTTTTTCTTTTGCTTCAAACTTCATTGGTTTTGTTTTTTGCTTAGTCATTTGTGTTACAGACAAAACTTCAGCATTTCATGCTGTTCTGTCTTTTTTATTTTTCGTTAATTTATTAATTATTTCATCTTGTCCGTATTGATAAAATTTGAGTTTATATGTTTGAATACCACGTCACTGTGTATTATGTATCGATTTTTAGTTCATGTTTATTTTGATTCAAGTTTTATTATTTAAAAGTTTATTTAATATATAAATTACGTAAATTTTAATTTATATAGAAATGTTTAATTTAACATCATGTATTTTATTTAGAGTTTAGAATTTTGTATTTTATTATTATAATTTATGTATTTTTTAACTATTTTTGCTGTTTTGACCTTTTCACTTTTTGCAGTCTACCTTCAGTCCCAGGAATCTTCAGTATACTTTGGGTAAAATACATTAGAGGTCAATGAACTATAAAAAAAACTTATTTTAGTTAACAATCTTTCACATATTACAAAATAATAATTAAATTTCTTAAATAGTTGCATGATGATCATTAAAATTTATCAAACTATTACCAAATAGCCTTTAAACTTACCAAATTATTACAAAATCATCCTAAACCTTATCATAATTTATTTCTATTCAAACATTACAGAGGATCATCTTATATAATTTTTTTTTACCAAAATGATAAATTTTCACATAGTTCATAGCATATAGTGTAATTTTTCCTTTACTTTTTACCCTATTTAGAGAATCTTAAAGGTTCAAATGATTCTATTAGAATTTTTAATAAACTTTATCAGAGCTGACAGTTTGACTTTGACACCTTTTGATTACTACTGTTTTTTTTAATGGATAAAATTAATTTATTCAGAAAAAGAATAATTCGATTCTTAAATTTTACTACTAGTTAGGAGATGAAGTAATTAAAAATTATTTTATTCTGACAAATTTATCACAAGTATTATAATTGTAAAAAGAATCAAAATTATTCCCATATAATTATGTATTTTTCATTTTCTGAAATTAAATTGAATATTTTTCTTGATAACTATCCAGGTCATTATCAAATCCAGAGTGGGGTACATAATTTGTATAAATTATTTCATTTAGGGGACAATAGTTATAGGTTAGGGACTATTAGCGGTGAGTAACAAAAAATTTAAAACTTTTAATAATTAGTGGATTATTTTTAAGTTTGAGTCAAATTCTTCGAATGTATATGATATATGTATATCAAATATGAAAAAAAATTGAAAAAAAATATATGTATTGTATACAGTTATAAAAAAATGATTTAAATTGGAATAAAAAAATAAAAGAATAAAAATGAAATTCGAGTTATAAAATAGAATTCCTCAACTCGAATTTTTTTAACTAGACTGGATCAAACGCTCGTCCTAGGGACCATTATTAATTTGCCCAAAATTATCAAGGGAATAAAAGCCAAATTGTGCTCTCCCATGTGTTCATAATTATTATGGGTGTAGGATCATCATATTTAAGGGTGGATAATTAAACCTACAATTTCTTTACCCCTAATGACATACCATGAAAGAATTCCATCTCTTAATTGTTAAAACACTTGGGGAGACCAAATGGAAGCGACCAGCAGAATGTTAGATTAAGACGAATGGAAATGGAGCTGGCGGCTGCCGCAGGAGGTATACTACGATGTGATCAAGGAAGTTGGTTATTTGGCTTCTCTAAGAGTTTCCGGTACAAACGGATAATGCCGATGTTGCTAACTTCGCGTTCAATGGAGATTATGAATGACTCGAGAAAAACCGATCGGGAAAATGCTTTTTGTTGAACCACCAACGGAGATGGCAGCTGCAGCTGCACAGGAGGCCGTTAATAGCATAAACCCTAAATCTTAAACTCTTGTACCGTAAACTTTAAACTTTAGATTCTAAATCTAATTCGTGAATTCTAATGATAAACAGACTTTTATAAATTAAAGTTTACACAACTCAGTATCGTCCGTGTACCGGATGATCTTTCATCATTATTATAACAATATCCAGTACCTGTATTATTATAAAAACATTGCAATTTACAACATCATCAGTATGACATCAAACATTTTTATGAACGCAGCCAATGAGAACTGGATTACCTATAAACTTTGATCCCCGAATCCTTTCTCACATACTTCTGTTTCATCATAACAGCGAAATTGAACTGCTTAAATTCCTTCGGATCAGTCTAACCTTCTCAGCAGGTACTCGACTTGGACTTCCTTCGTCAACGGCATGATCCAGTCGCCATATAAGTCGGCTACCAAGCTTGGGTTTATTTTGTATACCGGATCGCGGTTGTTTTTACATATATCACCCTGCACTACTTGTCCGTATGTTCTGGTTTTCGTTTCTACTCTTTTCTTGATCGATTCTTCGACCGAGGGAAATGTCAGCAACTTCATCAGCAAATCCCTGTCCTGCAAAAATGGAAGAACAAATAACGTGAAGAGAATCTGATCAACGCTTGAATGAACCGTTCTGGGAATGAAACTCGTATCATAAACAATACCTGTTCTCTAATGGCAGCTTGATAAGCATCGGGAGAGGTCCGGAATTTACATTCTGCTACAAATTTTCCGTAATGAATTCTCTTCGAAAGAGCCTGCAATGACACATAAATGTTAAGAATCCAGTAGTCTCCAGAACATCAGGTTGTTCGATACAACCACCAGCTCGATGGAAGAACCAATCGGAGCAACAAGTACTATCCACACATGCCCTGAAAACCAATCCGAAACGCACATGAGACTTGTCTTAAATATTTACCTGCAAACACATGGTGTCACAAACGGCGGTAGATCCACAATTGCCGTCATCTCCTTCCTTTGCTAATCTTGGAATAATATCTGTGAAGTACATTTGCCACACTTTCGGATTTATATTGATTGTATCAGCAATGGGATGTAGTACCTGTTTGATTTTCAGAAAAAAAGGCTTCAGTAAGAAGTTAAAAACCAAGCACTCAACAGCAGAAAAATCGGAATGTCCAAAAAATACATAAATATTATGGACAACGAGAGATACAGATCATGTGCAGAGGATTAAATTCTTCGAATAGAATGCCATACAGTATCATAATAGATCAGATTATACCATTACTCGGCATAACAATTTAAATCCTGTATTCTCATGATGCCATCAAGATCATCATTCATCACCAAAAGATAGTATGAAGAGATATGTTGCTTCAAAAGTACCTGCTTTTGATGCATACTCAAAAAACGAGTATGAGACACGACCCTCCAAATATGGAAAAACTTCAAAATGTATTGAACACGCCTATGTCGGACACATTTATATCCGACACTTACACTAACAAGGAAGAAGGGTCATGGAATACTCCACAAAGTCCTTCAAGAGGCTACTTAATACCAATTTCCCAGCCGATGACTATATTTTCCCGTGATATCATTTTACGCTTTTCAGATATGAATCTATGACTGACCTGACGGACTCCATTCTGTACAACTAGAGTGATGGCAGTGACGAATACTTAAAAGTTCCGATAAAAAACACAATTAACAGAATACTTCATGTATTAGTGAGAATGCGGACCAAGGGAGCAATGAACATAAGTCCAATGCCACTGCAAAATAGCGATAAAACGTAATGCCTCCTATCATTTTACCTGAGGGTATTTCATAGGTGGCAACAAGGGCTCTGGTAATTCATCTGCGAAGAATGGATGCTCGTCTGGGCTCATGTATCTGCCAACCTAATAGACAATGAAAGGGTTTATCAACAAAGCAGCGTGGATTTTGCCACACCTATTCCCTTTCTCTCTATGCTTATTGAGTCTGACATACCTGAGCATGAAGCTTTTCGGTTTCTCTAAGCATGTACTCGACCAAAGAGCCTTGGAACCCCTCCATGGAAAAGGCATCAGGGTCATATGTATTCTCATTATGACAATATTGAGCTCTCTCTAGAAGGCTAAATATTATGCTGTCCTCTTGTCGAATTAAGGAGTACCTCACTGCCTCGAGGGTCAAGTTCTCGCTCTCATCAACCCTTAGCCTTGTTGTCGTTGATCTATAGGGATGTTACCAAAACATTTAGTTGACATAAACCTCCATCACATGTCATAACGAAATCAGCTACCACACCATGGAAGCACCATATAGAAGGGAAAATTTTGAGAATATAATTATTTGTATTAATTTGCATCTATGTTGTTCCCAACTCTTCATTTTTCTTATATTATTGGTATCTAATGTATGCCTGGAAATGAATCTCAAGTAATCCTACAAATAAATGAAAAAAAATCGAATATAGATAACATAGATGTGCATATGTGGCAGAATGGTGTTCAGAAGTATAGAAATTAATGCATTTAACCAAAGAAGCAGACAAAAAACATGTTGGCTGCTGCACTCAAAGCAGAGTTTTCCGGGAAACATTTTCTTGCCAAACATCAGAAAAACAATTAAAATCCAAGAAATTTAACAATGGAATTATAAAAACTGACGAATTGAAACAAACCCAATTGAGAATAAAGTCAGCAAAGTCAGCTAATTCCATAGTAAAAAGTCAAAGCCACCCATTTCCATACACAACCAAAGCAAAAGAACAGAGGAAAAAATTCTGGGTAAAGAACAAAAGAAAAGCCAAAAGGGTCGATCTTTGTTTCATACCCAATTGAGTTGGTGGAAGCATGAGCCGACTGAACTGCTTTCTCAGACAATCTTGCAGGGCCCTGGAGCTTAAAGATGGGGAATTTCCTGGTTTGTGAAGTTAAAACAAAACTGGGTCTTGAACACTTGGTGGTCCCATTAACGGCAAACCATGGTGGAGAAGAAACACTCAACAACTTCGCCTCCATTGATCTTGAACAGAAAGGCACTAAGGAATGCAAAAGTTTGAAGCAATGAATTCAAAAACACGAAGGATAGTATATATGCACATAAATATAACTTTTAAAAATTAATTAAAAAAAGTAAAAAAAGATTGCTTCGTGCGTTCTTTGGGGTAGGTGAGTTAGGTGGCTGGAAGTGGAGAGGAAGGTTGGTGAGAATGAGAACCCATAAAAAAACAAGCTGCTTCATCCGTAAAAGTAAAAAGTTTAAATCTTTCATAGGACCCTATTATTTTAAAACTTAATATTTAATCCTTATATTTTAATTTTAAAATATTAAATATTTATACTGTTTTTATTTAATAAGTTTAAATTTTAGAAAAAAACCCTGCTACTTTTCACTCTGTTGTCATCTTAGGACCAGAAACAATGTCGAGCAATTAATATATATCTCACGTTCTTTTCTAATAAAGGTTCTTCCAAATCTATGAGTACAAAACTTTAAAAAATGTATGTTTCTGCAGAAAAATATAGAAATCATAAACTCATCATGTGCAATCACTTACTGTTTCCTTTTTAAACAAATCTTTTGAGTTTAGGTTTCATAACAAATTCATTACTCGATCCTCATAATCAGATGACAAAGACCCCGAGAGATTCCGATTTGCCGGACCGAAAAGCAATTCGACGCAGAATGCAGGGCCGTATATCGATCTGCCTGCCCTCCCAACTTTGTCCAGATCCCTGATCTTGAACTGACAAAGTTAAACAATGCAGTAAGTTTCATGGCGCATATATGTTTATGAATTGTGGAATATTTCTCGGTACGTACCTGTAACAAGCCGTTCTTGATGAAGGCCGTGTTGAAACAGGCGTAAAAAAAGCGGCCTCCGATCATCTTTCGATAGAATATGATGCGGACATCTCCCTTAACCTGTTGAATCCGAGCATATGATCGTATTCATACATTAAGCATATGCATGTAGTTTAAATATTTGGCATTTTTCGAATACATCATAGCAAAGCAGACACGTTAGTAAATAGATGCAAGCATTGCAGGTGACTTACTACCACAGGTTTCTTGAAACAATAGTCAAGACAGTTCTTCTGATATAATACTGGACTCTCTGTGTCCATTTGGACTATGAGACGAGTTTCTTCCGATTCTGGTGCAGCCCCTTCGACATATGACAAAAAGTACTAAGGACTGCAGCTCCCTTTGGATCCTTTCTTGATTTCTCGGTAGCAGCTCTTGGCAACTTCCACGGGTGGGCGGTACATCTGATTCGGGATATGCGGAATAGGGTTATAGTTATGTTAAACCAAGTTCAGCTTATATTACGACACTTTAATGCACTTTTTGAGTTCCCCTCTTGGAGCTCAGAGACAACAAAGAAGACAGAGTTAGTATTAACCGTGCATAAAGCCGAATTTGACGCAATTCTCGGCTACATGGTTGAGGCAAGTTCACATCTGGACGTCCGTTGCCAATTCCCCTAGGAAAAGAAAGCATCTTTTCCCAATACCCCACATAACGACGTTGGCTTGGAATAGAGACCTACAACAAAAGTGCGAAGTTTTAAACTAAGTGAATGGATATAAAAACCAATCTTTGAAAACATGTTAATGCAATGAAATATATATAAGAACTTTATTATTCCAACAAAGTACTTCGATAAAATGTACGCCTTCATTGTTCGTGGTCCGCTTTTGGGCGTATAACTGAAGTGCTTCCTCAGCTGATATTCTGATGTAAACAAGGTAGGCACATACCATTAAGCCGTTCGACCTTTGCCTGCCTGCAAAATTGGCGAAGAACGTCGAGCTTTAGAAACAAGAACATTATATAAAAACTTGGATTTAGGTATAACTGTTGGATACGGATATGTGTCTGATACGAAAATGTTCGAGTAAAAAGAAAGAAGATTTTGCAAGTCATACCATGCAATGCACGACTGCAATATTCTTAGGGTCTTTGACATCCATGAATGAACACTCTCACAGAACTTCTTCATCATTTCGAAGTGGGGAACATGATTGTCATCGAAAGGGAACCTCTCGACTTGACCATGAAAGTGTGACGGATCATAATCTTCTTCTATGCACAAATTATAGACCTGAAAAATTGGAAAAGAAATCTTAGATCCTACTTTAGTTTTCTGTTGAGAGAAAACTTGTAAAAGGAATGGTACAGGAAGATCGATGAAAACGATCTCTGTTTCTCCGGTACATATCCGTACATACCGGTACATTGATCGACTACTCTGTAATTTCCTACTTGTAGAGTGACCTAAGACAGGCAGACTCAAGATATAGACAGGCATGAATTTTCATTTCCAGCACACCAGAGTCCAAACAACATAGTTTACCTCGCAATGCCCTGATGTCTCATATCCAGCACAGACTTGACCTGCCATAGAGGATTCCGATGCACCTCTCGCATACGTTCGGCAGGGAAGGAAATGGCCAACACACGATCGGTCATATAAGACATGTCGAGGTCGTATCCACCGACTCTGATTCGCCTTCTTTTCATGGACACCAAGCTCCGGATCAAATAACTTGATGAAAGATAAGAAAACATCTGATGCACAGGAGTGGTGTTGCACCCTTTACTGGCCCCGCCTTGGAAAACTTCAACCCCATTTGCTGACACAACAACTTTCAGAATGCAAAGGTACCAATGGGGATGAACATGAAGTGCTCGAGTTAATGACTCAAATAGAGAATGGAAGGGAAACAATTCCTATGAATCCCACAATTGAAAGCCACTTTTGTCAAACAATCTGGAAAACACAGAAAAAAATGCTTTGAATGCTTCACAAAGGCGAATGGGAGTGTGGAGCTCAGGCAGGCAAGCAGGAGATGAATGTTGATGATGATGAAGACCATCTTTCATATTGTTCATGTTACCATCCCCACTGTTAAGTGGGATTTTTGGGTAATTTTTTATTCTAAATTTGGATGAAACTCTGACATCATATCTCAACCCTATATTTGGAGCAAATTCAGGCAATAACTTTGGTCACTTTCAGGCTATTTAGACAGAGAAGGTGTCAAAACATGTCAACCAAATTACAGTTGGGGTAACTGAAATTTGTACGACGGTTTGGATGCTGCTCTTTTCCACATATTTTCCAAGTTGTTTTACTGTTGGGTTCGGTTTTGTTTATTTTAGAAAATATACTCATTCACTCCAATTTCCCGTGTCCTAATAAATTACATAAATTATCACTAAATTTATAGAACCCTCATATTTTGATCATTCAACTTATTTCGAAAACCAGATATCTAAATTAGAAATTTTTATTTTGTAAACTCTTTTGATGATTTTAAATAATATAGGACCCTCATATTTGACATGATTAATAAATTAGTCCATAAAAAGTTTGGTTTGTAGTGACATTGGTGATACGATCACTTGAATTCAAAATTTGTGAGGATACATGAAACAAGCGATTTTAGTGGTTAAAGAGATGATTGTTATCCCTAGAGATTTTGGATTTGAGCACGACATTTACGAGAGCATATGAGAGTTCATTATCAAATGATTGAGAATATTTCGATTGTATACTACTTTGTAATCATCCCATATTAATTAATAAAACTATAAGGATTAAATTTATAAATTTAAGACTAAATTAAAATTAAATGTAAAATTTTGATTGAGATTCTTTCGATTATATACTACCTTGTAATCATCCCAAATTAATTAACAAAACTATAAGGATTAAATTTTTAAATTTAAGACTAAATTAAAGTAAAATGTAAAATTTGGAGGGTAAATTTATCATTATACCAATTCTATTAACTACCATATTGATTAACTCGTTAACAACAATGGACCAATTTGTTAGTCTTTTATATTGAGTGATCATTTTGTAAATTTTCATAATAAGAGAACTAAAAAAAACCATAATCAGGATTCTATTTGCGTATTTTACCCATATAATTATCATGTTTGCCGATGCCGTTTCGATCCGGTTTCTCAAATACGATGTGATTTAAAAGTATATAAAATGTAAGAGGGTAAACTACGCGAGTAGTCCCCTTATTTTGGTCTGATCTACTTTAATCACAAATTTAAAAATTAAGGGTAAATGATCCCTAACGTTATCGATTCATTCGATTTTAGTCCTTAATATTATCGATTCATTCCATTTTAGTCTCTTATTCGTTAACTCCCGTTCGATTTCAGTCCCTCAGCTATGTCACATATTCGTTAAGAGCTAACGGCAGAGGGACTTAGACCAAACAAACCGATAATGTTAAGGATCATCTACCCTTAATTTTTAAATTGGTGATCAAAGTCAGACAGACCCTAAAATGAGGGACTATTTGTATAGTTTAACTAATATAATATTATATAAAAATAAAAAAATATTATCAATTATTCATTTTAATATAAATATAAATATAAAGAGCTAAAAGCAGAGAGAAAACAAGAGCTTTGAAAGTCTTTGCTCTTCTCTACTGTTATCACCAAATCAAGATTCAAAGTATTCCGTAAGATTACAACTTCAAAGTTTCTTTATTTTTTTTTCTTGCAATTTTCTGTTAAAAGATGCGTTTAAATGTAAATATCGTATCTATTTCTGGGCAAGTATTGTATGAGTTGATGTATAGGTTGTTTGCGAAGTAGTAAAACTTTTAAAAGAGAACAAAATCTTTTTTTTTTCCTGGGTTTTCTGTTATATGATCATATAAAGTGTTTCCCTTTCTGGGTTCTTTCATTTTATTGCATATCTGATTCAACTTGTAGTTGATTTCGTTATTGTGTGTATATATTTTTCATTTTTCAATAGTAGCTTTAAAATGAAACGATATGTTTTCATTCTTAAGAATTGGGTGTTATTTGAATCTCAACCTACTAGTTCTTATCTCACAAGAAAGATTGCAAGAGCTTAGCTAAACTTCGGGTTTATCGAATCGAATGATTTGATAACGGAGTTGTATGATAGCTTTGGTTTAGCATGTATTAGCTTTGATAAGCTGAAATTTGAACTTGATTGAGTCGATGAAAATTTGCAAGGCTGCATCTGCAAATCTAATGCCCAAAGCTTGAAAATAGTCCGTTTTGTGGACTAGTCTTCTCCTTTTATAGAGAAGAACCAAGGCATATTTCGTCGAATTAGGTTTTCTTCCTATTTAGAAGGCAAGCGATCATCCTGCATACATTGTCAAACTCAAATTAGGCTTGTATCTTACTTAGAAGGCAAACGATCATCCCGTTTTTTGGGTAAAATTTTCACTTTGGTCCTCACTAACCACTGTGAATTTTAATTTCTAGTGTGTTTGTTGAAGATCTATGGATGAACAAATCTTCGTGTTTCTGCTTTTGATTTGTAATATGATATGCATGTGTATTAATGGTGGGTTAATTCGAAAAGGACTGTTAGATTTATTCATTTGTACTTGTTGCATGCAGTTGAAATAGAAATGCTTACTGAAGTCTTTGCTGCCTAAGGTGCCTATCATTCTTACTTGGTTTTCAGCACTCTTTGTATTTATACTTGCAGATGGATCTTATCGATTTTTCGATTATGTTATAACTATCTAGGTTCGATTTCTGCTACTAGAAAATCATGCTGGCTATGTAATCTTGCTTGGGTTCCTCATATCAACATGTGGAGTTTTGCATCCAACTGTGTTGCCGGAACTGTTGGACGAAAAAATGATTTTCTAAAGCTACCTCATACTGCATCAGAATGTTCAGACGATGAAAGCTCTTCTGTAATTACCAGGGATGAGTGTTTAGAATGCCCTATATGCTGTGAATCCTTCAACATCGTAGAAAATGTGCCCTACGTTTTATGGTGTGGTCATACCCTTTGTAAAAACTGCATTCTAGGACTTCAATCAGCTGTTGTGAAATTTACGACTCTACCAGTTCAACTTCCGCTTTTCGTTTCCTGCCCGTGGTGCAATCTCTTGTCATTTCGTCTGGTTTATAGGGGAAATCTCAAGTTCCCTCGGAAGAACTATTTTCTACTTTGGATGGTTGAAAGCATGAATGGTGATAGACTGAAGTCTCATTCTTCCGTCTGTGAAGATAGTCAGCCTGGCTGTTCATTGAACGATAATTCAGCATCGCGGAACCAAGTGACTCAGATTAACCACAGGAGGGGACAATATCTGCATCATTGCGAGCCATCAGGATCAAACCACAATCATAATCATCTCTCCGATTACTTCAATTCGGAAAGAATATATTCTTACCTTCGGAAGTCTCTGGTGATTTTCATGCATCTGGTAGCCAAGTTCCCATTAGTCATCATATTTCTCTTAATCATCCTGTACGTGATTCCCGCCAGTGCCGCCATCTTGGCACTGTACATACTTGTTACTGTAATATTTGCTCTCCCTTCATTTATCATTCTGTACTTTGCATACCCGAGTTTAGAGTGGCTTGTCAAAGAGATCATAACTTGAGAGAGTTTCGATTTCGTGTTCGGCAAGCATTGTGAATATAAGTTTGCACGTATGGCATCATGCTTCTCCAATTTGACGACTTCCCGGTGCCCGAGTTTTACGACAGTTTCTTCCTCAAAGCTTCTCAATTTATACTTTTAGCTGGTGTGGTTTTTTTTTAATTCGTATGTCCAGAATTATCCTCTTCAGATGTCTACCGAAGTTCTCGGATGCATCAGGAAGTGGTCTTATATATACAGTTGAAATAATTGTCATTGAGAAATCTTACTACTTGGACAGTTAAAAGACTGTTATTAGATATATATTTATAAATATATGATTTTTCTGCATATGACTGTTAGTTAAAGACCGGGTGAGCATGATTTGATAAAAATAATTTTGATGTTATATATAATAATTTGAGCCACATTATAATAGAAGTGGACAGTGAACCTCCACGTGTGGAACCATGTCCTGTAATTACAACCACTGCATCTTGTCTGCTCCTTGCTAGGACTTTGTGGCTGTTGTTTCCAGTTAAAACTGCTAGTTACTAAACAAGGATTCCAAAAAAGAAAATGGTGGCAGTCTTTGCTGTTTCTTCTCCAAAACCAACTGTTTCCCAGAATCCAATCTTTAAAGAGATTCCGATCGAGTTTCAGCATGGTGGTTGCTTCAGCTGGTTCAGGTGGTACGACCACCGCAGCCGGAAGCGATGGTGGTGGCTCCGTCAACAGATTTTACTATAACATCACTGGCTTTCCTTTACCCCTTGGCCCTTTTTCTTAACAGAGATTGGACCATATGTAGAGGTCACCATCTATCTTAAACGTTCGAGAACGCTTCTGGTTACGGATGCCGTCATATATGTTCCGAAAAAGCCACCAGAGTGTATCAACAAACAGTAACTCTTAGCATCAGCCAAAATTGGATTGGCAGTGAAGATTCTAAGCAAAGGGAAGAAAGTTATTGATGAACCTGTTGTTGACAACAAAATAAACCGTCAAAAAGGTTCGATCAAAGCAAGGCACTGGAATTCAGGACTGAAAATTCAGGTTCAGGATTGGAATGACGGCATTGCAAGGGACTGGAAAGTCTAGAGGATCATCCCTGCACATTTCGCAGGACCGATCAAAGCAGGCCGAGCTGAACTGTTAGCAGCATTTGCAGTTCTTGATGATCTTTTGGGTGAGCGTTATGTGACTCGGCTTCACTTTCTCTTCTCTTCACATCACTCATGGGGAAGGCAGCCAGTTACTTCTCATCTGATGATGTGAGGACCTTATCATCCCTCGACGGGATTAGTGTCTGTCGGAGCTGTTAAGGAGATGGTCTCTGGTCGGAAACGATGACATCAAGCTCTTTAATCCGCAGGAACGTAGATATCTAAGCTTATACATAACGGAACACCATTTCACAATTAAGCAACATTTTTACAATCTTAAGGATTACAAAAGCAAGAGTTTTGATTACCCTTCTTTGAGATTTTACTGTTTAATTGAAATAAGAAATCATTCTACGAAACTGTAACAAACTATGAGACATGAATATGTATCATCGGGAAGACGATATTGTACAAAATTGGTCAATCCGCGAGTCAATAACTTGAAAACAAGAAAAAGGAAACGGAGAGGATGGATGATGATCGGCTTAACACATAAGGCATAAACTGGAAGCAAAAAAACCGACTGATATGAAAAATCTACAAGATGCCGACCACCTTCATCAATCGGAAAAGTGCCCAACTTGATTTTCTATGCCAGTTCAGGCACTCCTCATCTACAGAAAACTTTGGGATGGAATTTAGTTTAAAAACCGAGGGCTATGTTAGCTGCGAAAAAACAGTCAAGGGCAACAACCTGAAAATAATGTCATACCCTCGGCAAACTGTGGATTATAATATGTCACAAACACATTTGTTTTGTTGTGCTTGATTTGTTGCCTTCATTTCTGATTGTCAAGGAAGGATACAAGTGTTACTTAGTAGTAGGAAATGCACGACTTAAAACTGGCTAAAGAAGAAAGTAAATTCAAAATTGCATATGAAAAAGTTAAGATTATAATGTTTGGAGGCCCAGAGATAGTAATTGTACCTTCCTCTGAAGGAGGTTGAACGACGACATGCATCGTCATCAACCCACCGGGAATATCACAAAGAGGACTTTGGCACTCCCCCAGGGTTTTTTTGTTCTCCAATATTTTTCCGGCATTAATTAACTTAACATCTTGCACTGTCCTTGGACCATTCTCCTTCTCTGCAGAAAATTAAATAAGTGCGATTACATTCTCGGAACTGACTTTAACATGACTGAAAGCAAAATGAAAGAGCAGAGAAGTCATATACCAGTAATACCATAATCATAAAAGAGCATACATAGTATTTCAATGGAATTCAATCAAAAACTAAAATTTAAGACTTTCTCATATGCCATACCATCTGGTATGATATTACAGTACGTGAAATGCAAGGTGAAAGAAGAGCTAGACGGTAGAACATAGCTCAAACAATGATTTCAGCTTGCATTTCACGTACTGTCATACCGGATAGTTTGAGCAAAGAATGATGCAAGGCAAAACAAACTGACAGCAACGATATACTAGCATAAAATTTTGAACTTCAGCCTAGATCATATCGGCTTGCAATTCAATTATGAAAATCAAATGTTCCTCCCTCGAAAATGCTTGAAAACCCGGCATCCAACATGGACAAGCATTTCCGATAGAAACACCAATGATGAAATGAAGCAAACTAAAAACCAGTACAATTTGTTGGTTTAAGCGACAAGAAAGAGAAGTATTCAGTGACATAAAAAAATTGACCTTGCTGTTCATTGTATACCGGGGAAAGGCCCGAACCATGTGTTATTTTGGTTCCCTAGGAAATATTTTCATTGTCAGGCATCTCATTCAGCATTAAGTAATCATCATTGCTAATACATTTTACCGATCAAAGAACACATTCCAGTTCCTCTGCAACGAATTTTTGTCCTGATTCTGAAGGAAGCAAGGCATAAGATAATATTTTTCACATAGTTTCGATTATCTGAACATTTAACCAGCAATACAAACAAATAGCATGATCCCATCTTTCTAGTTCAAGAGCCATATGGAAGAATGAAACAGTAACCAAAAGACGTTTTGGATTTAGTCCAACTTCAAACTAACGTTTAGGCCATTGTGCAAGAACACTTTCTTTCAAGGTTGCAATACTGGTAGCAGCAGGAAAGGTTTTAGGACCAATATCTGACCCATCAGTCAATCTAAATTTGACATCCAACTGATCTTGAACACCAGCCATCTCCAGAAACCTTGAAACTTGAAAAATCCCAACACCTCAAGATCTTTACTTGTCACCTTCTACCTTACTGTAAACAGAAACCTCAATCTGGAATGCTGTAAATACACCAAAATGTGGCATTCGTTGCTGTTCAGAATCCGAATCTCCTTTCAATTCCCAAACTGCGAATACCAGAAAAAGGAAAATTTTAATTACTTGATTCAGAGTCAAGTTAAAAACATATATGCAGGGAAACTTCAAAAGGTGCAACTTCAAGAGAGATTAAACAGTTCAAGACATAAACACACATCAAAATCACAAAATAAGTAAAGCATCCGTCAGTAGTTAAAGAATAACAAATCTCAGAGTTAAGAGAACCAAACCAGCCAAATTCCAAAACTTGATCACTCTAAAGTCGAACAAATACATAAAAGCAGTGGAAAAGTTTATTGGGTTATCTTACTTGATTCCAGAACTGATCTGAGTTGATTTTTGTTGGCTGAAAAATCCAAGCTTTGGAGGAAGAGAAAAACAAGAAAAGCCGATTGGGCTGCTTTGTAATTATTATATTATTTGATCAAATAAATAAATCAAGAATGAAGAAGAGATCAAATAATAAATCTATACAAATGAGGGCGTCTCGGAGTTCTCTAAATCTATGGTCAATGCTTCCGTTTGTTGCCTTGTTCTCGTGAAGCTATGGAGTTTGGACATATTCCACTCTTTTTCTTTATCTTCCTCCCAAAAAAAATGAAAGTCAACCCTAAACCTTTGATTTTGCATGCAGCATCACAACCGTTGGATTTTGATATTCGATCATCTTGGAGCTATGATTTTTTATCTGAAAGATGTTATTTACATGCACGTTAATATGATATATTAATCATACAACAAACAGGTATGAAAGATGTCAAGGCAAAGGAACTTTGACATTTTTCTCTTTGATTCAGAATACAAAATCACCGACAACTATTTACTGCATCTTCATTTGATATCAAGGGTTGTGTTGGGTTTCTATAGCAATACAGATGATTGAATTATCCATTCCACCGAACTATCCATGCGGTTTTATCGTCCTCATAGTCAGTGCCAGACGCAGTGTCTAGCTTCTGAAAAATGATGGCATTCTTCTTGGCACTAACGATTTTAATTCTAGCCTCCCTTAAGGCGTTTAATGCTATTGCTACCTCAAAACTGTGATCAGATGTCATCTCCTCTTCTGCACATTTTATGGCTTCCTGGAGCAAAAGATTGTACTGATTCTTCCCCATCATAGAATCGCCAACGGATGGTAATGCATCGAACTTGGCCTCCTCCTTCGGATTTTCGTCCATCGCTTTAGAATATAATGTTGAGGAAGCAGGAAGATGTTTGTTGCTTTGAACACAGCCATCACATGTCTGCAAAGGATCCCTTCAAACTCGAACATCTTGCAACTGCAACTAGTTATCTGGTTGGCTGTATCGGCTACATTCAATCCTACCAGAAAACTTTATGTTCTTCTTCAAGTCTTGCTACCTCATATGTCTTTGCTAATCCATTGTCTTGACTTAATTTCAATGCAAGCAGAAGAGATTCATAAATTTCATCCTGGAAAACCAAGAACAAGTTTCTCGGGTAAACTTCTACCGCTTGTTTTTCCACAGGAAGTGGTGTTTTCAGAACTGGTTTAGTGTACAAAGTTTCAAATTCCGCCCTTGCGTCCTTGTATCGGCCGTCCAGAGCCCGTTCATACTGCTCTACGAAATCTTGTAAGGTAGTCCCAGCATTTACACATCAAATAGTGAGCTAACGCTTTTGCTTTGCTGGGTTTAATACACGCCAGCAAAAAACGTGTCCCTCATATATGTCGATACCCATAACTTGCAATCGATATAAAGGGATTGAAGCCAATATTCGTTTCCTCGAAGACTGTACCTATCGAGAAGCAACTGCCAAGCAGATTCCAATTCTTCAGGTGTCTCACTCTTGTTAATGCATTTGTCAAACTCCCATGAAAAGCCAGATGAATGTATGTAGATTCGGTTTCATCTGCTAGTAATGCACAACTAAACAACACTGGCTGTCTATGGTGATTTACTCCCATGAAAGGAGCAAATGGCATTTTATATTGATTCACTTGGTAACTGGTGTCAAAAGATACAACACCAGAGAAACAATCATAAGCAATTCTCGATCTTGTGTCGACCCAAAAAACACTACTTGGACGATCTCTGTCATCGACCTGAGTAGCATAATAAAATGCAGGATCACTAGTTTGCATAACCTTAAAGAATCAAAGCAAACTTTGTGCATCTACCACAAAATTGCTTAATCCTGGGATTCTCATTATTTTCAACTGCACAACAACCATTACCTTCATCTTCTAATGGCCACATATGAGTCGGCCATTTCTTTACCTTCACTAGCAGGCTCTTCTTCCATGATCTTTTCTCAATCCTGTCAAACAAGTCGTTTGCTAATCTTTTAGTTCCCATTAATCAAGAACGGAAGTTTGTTTCACTGTCAGCTAAGTTATTTTGATCTGAGTCGTTATTTTACTTTAAAGTATCCACATTTGACAACCATGTATGAGAATACCACCCTCAAAGTATGATACTCTAAATAAACTCTACTCACTCCCAAAAAATGAAAAATAAAAATCAAGTGAATTCCATAAACTAGCATAGCAAGTAAAAATCAGCATTCAAGAACAGTTTAAAGAACAAAGTTTTGAATACTAGGAAATGTGAAACACTTCAAAAATAAATGATGCAAATAGAAAATAACAGATATATATATATATATATGCTTTTTTATGTTTTATTTTTTATTTTCTGGTAATTGAATAAACGAAAATAAAAGAAGAAAAAAGCTAACCTGTGTTTTTAAGGACAAAAAATAAAACCGTGCATGTACTGCCTTTTGAGAATAGAAGAATTCCATTAAAGGCGCAAATCGTTTATGCAATTTCAACAATCTACAAATGGAAGAAATTTAAATGAACAAGAACAGAAGTTCCCTAACAAACAAGAAGAATTGAAGGCATAACGCATAGCCCTCCTTTTATCTTCATCATGACGGTAAAATTCCAATTATGCTTGGCTTACTATGGGGGAAACAAGGTACAACACACCTCGCCATAAAAAAATCAACTGGAAAGAATCAAACAGATTGGACTCGAACTGTAATCGTTTTGTATCCATCATAGGCATGCAACCTGTGCATGTCATTTACGCTACTGCAGGCATGTCCTTGAGCCATGCATCCAGTGGCTTACCAATCGAGTACACTATGAAACCGATCTCCCTCAGCTGGTCCACGTTCACGATGTTCCTTCCATCGAAAACAAAAGCCGGCTTTTGCATGTTGTCGTATATCCTCTTGAAGTCGAGTTGCTTAAACTCATCCCACTCTGTCAGAATGCAAATACCATGAGCATCCTTGGTTGCCTCATAAGCATCCCAGACACAGCTGACCTGCTTAACGGTTGTGGGGCTCATGGGTTGCAAGTGAAGAGGATGATCCCAGTCAAACTTCTTCATGGAAAGATCCCGTTGGACCTGGTCCTCGGTGACCTGTGGATCATATATGCTCAACCGAGCTTTGTCCCCCAAAAGTCCTTTGCATACATCAATGGCAGGGGTCTCCCTAGTATCACCCGTATCCTTCTTAAAGGCAAACCCTAAAATAGCAATCTTCTTGTTTGAAACAGTGTTGAACATTGAGGATACAACACGGTTAACAAATCGATTTTTCTGATAGTCATTGATTTTAATGACTTGCTTCCAGTACTCTGCCACCTCAGGAAGGCCATTGCACTCACAGATGTAAACCAGATTTAGAATATCCTTCTGGAAGCAGGATCCGCCGAAACCAACACTAGCATTCAAAAATTTGGGTCCAATCCTCGTGTCCTTACCAACAGCATAGGAGACCTGCGTAACATCAGCCCCAGTTGCCTCACAAAGAGCAGACATGGCATTTACCGATGAGATCCTCTGAGCCAAGAAAGCATTGGCAGCAAGCTTGGAAAGCTCTGCAGACCAAAGATTGGTGGTAAGAATTCTCTCTTCAGGGACCCAATATGCATAAACAGCCTTCAATGCTTGGACAGCTTTATTGCCTTCTGGGGTTTCCCGCCCTCCAATAAGAACACGATCGGGGTTGAAAAGATCTTGAATTGCAGTTCCTTCAGCAAGAAATTCTGGGTTCGAAAGGATTTGGAATTTGATTCCCTTGCTGTTATGGGTGAGAATCTTTTCAATTGCCTCAGCAGTTTTGACAGGGACTGTCGATTTCTCCACGACAATCTTGTCAGATTTCGATACGTCCGCGATCATGCGCGCAGCACTTTCCCAATATGTAAGGTCTGCAGCTTTGCCAGCTCCTAGGCCCCTAGTCTTGGTGGGAGTGTTGACAGAAACAAAGACGATATCAGCCTCATGCACATGTTTCTCTACATCAGTGCTGAAGAAAAGGTTCTTGCCACGACATTGTTTCACAACATCGTCAAGACCAGGCTCATAGATAGGGAGCTGGTCACTGTTCCAGGCAGCAATTCGAGGCACAGAGATATCGACAACAGCCACTTCAATATCCGGACATTTAAGTGCAATCACGGCCATTGTAGGCCCACCAACATAACCAGCTCCAATGCAACAGATCTTCATTTTCTTTGTATACCACAACCTAAAAGAAGAGAAGCAACTATTCAAATAACATAATAGCAAAAACCATTCCTAGATCCACCCGAATCGAAAACTTTGAAGAAACCTAACAACTCATTTCATCTTGAAAACAATAAGATCCATATGACAACTTGGACTCAAGATAAGTGTTGGATACTAGTATGCATCTATGAGCCTAATAATAAAATGAGCCACATAGCTCCTATACAATACAAAAGTTGAACATATAATAAAATGTACTACTACTTGAACATAACGTATAAAACAATAAATAGAGAAGAATATGCCATCAGATCTGACCAAGGCATCGAAGCACCGACGCCTATCTCTAGTAACATTTCAACCAACAGATCAGTAAAACAATAGATCCAGAAAACTTAAATAGAAACTAATGAAATCAATACAATTCAATTCAGATCCGTAAAAATCAGCTTGAATTCAAAGTTCCCATTCAAGTTTATTAAGCAAAATGTTAACATAATTTACAGATCAACCAGGAGTCGGAACTAGACAGACAGATTTGTTTGGTCAAACCAAGCTTTACGAAATTCGAAACTATTTACTTCACTTCATGGGGGGGAAAAGAAAGCAAATTTGAATCTGGTCAAATAGAGACTTGGATCAAGAACTACATCTGAAAAGGAGTCAAACTGTAAGCCAGTTAACAATCAAAGCAATGCCAACTTAAAAAGGAAAAAAAACTACCCATTTGAATTCATGGAAAACCAACGTAAAAGAGACGGAAAATTGAAACTCAGATCAAGAACCGACAACTCGGGGGGGGGGGGGAACTCATTCACTGAAGCAGAAAACGAAGCAAGAAAAACACACTACCCACGAAATGAAGCTAATTCAGATCAAATCAATAAATATAAAGAAAATAAAATGGAATAATTTAGTATTACTTTACCTCAAAAGATGTTTTTCTTAAATAAAGACCCAGGAATTCAGAGAAGAAGAAGAAGAAGAAGAAGAAGAAGAAGAAGAAGAAGAAGAAGAAGAAGAAGAGATTCGTTTAGCTTCCACGACGATATGAAAAATCAGCGGGGATATTTATACTCAGCGTTGTTTCGGTTTTACCCTTGTCGTTTTCCCATAATTCCATAAGCAAGCTATAAAAGAACGGAGGGTGAATACGTCACGTGACTGCCGACGGACAGTAGTGTCAATGGGAATTGGGTGGCAAGTGAAAACGGTGACGCATTTAACATCTATTTAAATATTCTCAACGCGGTTCTTTTTTAACAGCAAGGCATAATCTGTTCTGGACTCGAATAACATGGAGACCTTCCTTGATGCTGCAGGCAACCCAATCTTTTATTATTATAACATGACAAAATGTAATTTTCCTAAAATTGGAAATGAATATTAAATTAAGGCTTCGAATAAGTAATTTTAGTTTACTTAAAACCTAACATGCAAGATTTATGTAAATTTTATATAAAAGTCAACGAATTAGGAGGAGCGTAAAAGTTATTTAAAATTTCATACAAATATAAGTAGAAATTTTTTATTTATAATATAAAAAATATGAACTACTACTTAATTATATGATTTTTTTTATTTAATTTCTTATCATAAACTAAGAAATTAAAACAAAAGCAAATGGTTTTTGCATCTTGGGTTATTATATGTGCACAACGAAGAAGTATGAAAGATAATATATGGATTAATATTTGATGTATTGATTTTGTGTAATTTTATGTATTATTAGTGAACAATATTATATGTTATTTTAAAACTTTAAAATTAAATTTATTTCATTTTTTCTTGATGATTTATTATATTAACAAATGTATAGAATTATATATTGTCGATGCATTAAATGTTCATATTTTATATAAACTTATATCTTTTTATGAATGAACTTTTTATTTGATTAAATGAAATTTAAATTACTACTTGTTAATAATAATTTTTATTTAAAATAATTACGAATAAATTAAAAATAATAGTATAAAGTTATTATTATATTATAGTAAGTACATATTATAACTTGAAAGCCAATGTAAACTTTTTCTTTTTTTTCTAGTTTTGATCACATTTAGTTTCTAACTTAATTCTTTTATATATTTAATAAACCCAGAGCCAAAATTGCATCATTTATAAATATTTTTATTCCTAGATTTTTATAATTTATTTTACAAATATTGTTGTTGTTGTTGTCATTATTACTATTTGAAATGATTTCCATGTGCATTAAGGCCATGAATCAATGACTGTGGCATAATTTTCTGGTGGGAAAGAGTATGAATATGAAGCCTTCAAAGCCAAGAATGAACTTTGCTTGAGGACTCGGGAAAAATGTTTTTATTGCAATTGAAGACATTTTAGGTATAATTAATGAGAAAGAAAAAGGGTTTTATTGCACTTAAATTACTAGCAAATATTTCAGCTTTCAGTAACTTCTTGTGAAAGTAGACCAGCAGCTTCATCTGATGGGTGAACAAATGTTCGTACTCCAATAGGTTGTCCTCGAGCCATTCCTGCTAGCAATCCGCCACCGAGTTTGCTTCTCATTTTTCATTCTTGGTTAAGGAGCTTCTTAATCATATCTACGATTGTGTTCTCCATGCCTATAGTTGTCGTCGTAGATAAAAGTTTAACCACCTCAACGTTAGGTTTCAACTATAACCTTGCGACAACCTAATTTCCAAACATGCATAAGCATATCAAGAAATGCCAATAATTCAACAATCAGAATCAGACAATTACCAATGATTTTCAAATATGATTATAATCATCAAAATGTGATGCATTGATAGTGTATCGTTTTATGTACTATCAACGGTTGGGGTATCGAAGGAACGGAGCGGATCATGATCTGCGCCTTCCGTACGTGTCAGAAATCCCACGAAGGCGCAGATCGCCATCCGCACATTTCCTTATGTGGTGTCAGCTTGGATATAACCCCACGAAGTCACAGATAACAATCCGTGTTTTTCCTTGCGTGGTGCTAGGTTGGACAAAACCCCTCGAAGGCACGGATGACGATCCGCTCTTTATTACCACCATGTCAAAAAGGATACTAGATCGATAATATTAGGGGTAAATTTGTCTAACATGTAATTATTAGTGGTACGGGTGATATTTCAGTAAAAACGCAATAAAGGCGACATCCATTTGTATGTATAGAGTAAAATATGTTATGTCAATTGTAATACATAATATATATATATATATATCCAGTCAGGATAAGTAGGATAATCACTACAACAATATTGATCTATTGCGACGTTTTTTTAGTCCTATAGCGGTGTTTTTAAGCGCCGCTAAAAGCACTCATGGCAATAGTAAAAACGCCGCAAGAAGCGCCAGCGAAACCAGCGCCGCTAAAGTTAGCGGCGTTTGTGAATAAAAAACGCCGCAATAGGTCGAGATCTATAGCGGCGTTTTTGGGACAAACGCCTCAATAGGTCGAGATCTATAGCGGCGTTTTTGGGACAAACGCCTCAATAGGTCGAGATCTAAAGCGGTGTTTTTGGAACAAACGCCGCAATAGGTCGAGATCTATAGCGACGTTTTTGGAACAAACGCCGCAATAGGTCGAGATTTATAGCGGCGTTTTTGGAACAAACGCCACAAAATGTTAGATCTATAGCGGCGTTTTTTGATACAAACGCCGCTAATGACCGTTCTTTAGATAATATTAATTGATTTTGCATATTCCATTTTTGCTATACATCACCTAAATTTAATATCATGTAATCTAATTAACAACAACCATAAATTTTAATTAAGATACAAATTATGTCGAAAAATACTTAACAACAAAATAAATTAAAATTTATAAACACTAAAATTAAATGTAATGTAGTTTGACATTGTTCTCTAGAATTTAATCTAGGTTCTTTCACTTTAAATTAAAAAAAATAGTTTTCCTTGTTTGATGAAGCATCGTTAGGTTTTTCCTCCCTGTAAACTGTATATGGAGAACATCTTCATCCATTTCACCAAATAAATCCCCTAGCTCCGGTTCACCAAGAAGACTCCTTGCACGCTTAAATGCTTCACTTGAAACAGATAACGACCTTCCACCTACAGTATGTAACTTGATTGGAGGTGGCTTGGGAATTGAATCAAACAGTAAACAAAAAAATCAAAGTAAAAAAGAGAAGCGTTTACTTGGAGTAACAGTAGAGGCACCGTCTTCTTCATCGAGGATAGATAATGCTTTTGCAATTGAAGATTCTTTCAACGCCATAGATTTCCCCAATCCGGTTCTAAACATCGGGTATTTATCCACTTCTCTATCATCGTTCTCAATAATCTTCGAACATCCTGCGTACGATCTATGAAATTTGAGAGTACAAAATAAAAATATAGCGGCGGAAAAATTCAGAGATTATTACCTTGAAGTAGGAGATCGACCATGGAAGGGTATGGAGCAATAGGAGTTCCTTTCGGGTCATCATAGGGTTTCGACGGCAAGAACGGACTGGAATCCTCCCAACGATAATTTGATCCGGCGTCAGAGCAAATACGTCACGTGGACATTCTGATGATTTTGCTTATGGATTGTGGATTAAATTTCTAAAGTTTTATCCACAATCAATTTCTCTTACTCTGTCCATATATATGGGTGATCGAGTTTATAAATCTTCTCTTATATACCTCATTGTTTCAGTTAAAGAGCAGCACAAAAAACGCGCATTTCAAATGAAGTAAACAAAGGAAATAAAGTAACTCAGAGGTTATATATCCTTAGTTAAGGCTACTTTAACTAATCACTTAAAGTAACAAGTAATATTGATAGTATAAAAAACAAAATTGATGTTAAGAAACATAAATAGACTAATGATCTCACTTAGACTCCAAGTCTTAACATTGCAGAAAACCAACAAGATGGATAGATGCAAATAAAATATCCTGTTTTCAAGGAATAATAATTCTGTTTGACAAGAAAAGTGAGTGCAGCGTACCTTGGTGCCTGCTAATTGTTCTTTAAAACTGTATGTGAATTGAAGGACCACTTTGCAGGCTGAAATATAAAGAATGTAAAATACAAAATAAAGGGGGATTATTAATAAAATATTGCAAAGAGAAATAATCTCCTTCTATCAATATGTTCAAATTGACCTTCCATTTTATGAAACAACGTGATACAAGTCTACGAAACTCGAACATACATGCTTAAGTTACATTTCACATCAAGTTGCGAGTATAAATGGTTGATCATCATACATACAGGTGCCAAATAAAGATTCAAACTTTGTATGTCATACTCAGGTGAATAGGGACTGTTTGCGATATCCCTCAGAGTTTTGACCAAACCTTCAATACAGTTCTACATTGATGATAAAAGAAGCTATTATATTTTCACATGTATAGAAAATAATAATATAATATTATCAGGAAGCGAGGAAATCAATATTCAAAATAAATTCTACTCATTACAGCTTCTTTTCATAGTCACAACTCTTGTTAGGTAGAGAGTTACATTGAAATGAAAAAAATGTTAAAAAAGCCATAACCAATTACCTCTCTAAAATATTCAAGGGCTTCAGAACTGACTTTGCAAAGATCTGTACAAAGTTGAACTCCAGTTACTAGGACTCCATGATGTTTTTCTTTAAGTAGTGAAGCATATACATAAAGTTTTCAGTCAGGTCCGGAACTTTCTTTATGATCCGTATGGAGCACATTGCTGCCTACAGAGAACAGTTAGTCAAAGATTGCAGTCAAAGTGCTAAGAAATTAGAGAACCAAAAACCTAGGTGCATACTGAGAATCCATAAACAAAAGGCCAATTGACAGGAGGGAGAGAGAAAAGAACAATATGAAACCTGCTTAATCAAACCAATACAACAACAGAAATGTGAGTAATTTTAGATGAACCAATTTAGTAAGTTATAAAAATGATTTCACAAAATGGCTGGCACCAAGCAATAAATGTATTTCCCTCAAATCATTAAACAAGAAAGAGTTCAGACTCACGGTTTATCATATGTTGCCTTTTTTCCCTTGAGTGATTACATGCAGTAAAATCTTCTAGATAAGATAAATGGTCAAAAAAATATCCAGATTTCATAAAAGTGCAAGCCATTCGAAGATCGAGGAACATCATTAAATAAAATATCACACATTCATGAATTTGGAAAATAATTATATGTTACAACTCATGTCTTAGTCATGAGACATGCAGTACATCCATAATGGGTTCACGAGGTGATTTTAACTTTTGTATTAACAAATTACAAGGCACTATCAATTTCTATAAACAAAACTGAGTGCTCAAAACCCATATAATGCTCCATCAAATTATCAGAATCTAACGACTGATATCCTTTGCAAAAGACGGTGAAAGTTTGGTCAGGATTCAAGAAATGTTCCACAAAAAGCACATCTTATTCGAAGTAATTATGATGAAGTTATTGTAAGTTGTTATAACTAAATTCTGATTTCATTCCAAAAACTGAGTGTGGTGAAACTCATCGTGATAGGTACTGAAACCTGTATGAATTAGAAAACCATCATTCTTTAGTTTCAGAAGGTATAACATTTCTAACATGATGAAATACTCTCACAAACAGTAAGAAGAACACAGTCCAAACAGTATGATCCCCAAATTCCAAGGTGTAGATGCCAATAATAAAAACTAGAAAACACAACATAATCACTCACAAATCATAATGATTCATTATGATTACTTTTCTGCAAAACTAAAGGCATAAACCAATTATATAGGAATAGTGGAAATACAAGGAAAACAAACATATCAATGAAACATAACACTAAGAACATAATAACTGTGAAAAAAGGGGGGGGGAAACAATTTGAATGAACATTGTCATCTATATGCAAAATAATTATAAATCACACTAACCTGAAAAACACTTCCGAAATTCTTAAACCATCAAAGAAAAGCCGAGTTCCAGGAAGCCATAGGTCATAAACTAAGAAAAAAAAACATTCTGCAACACACAGAACATATGCAGAAAATAACTGGGATTTGTACTGTAACAATAAAAATATACCCAAAAAAGAAAGGAAGCTCTGTAAACCAGATTGAAGAAAAAAATAGATTGAACGACCAAAAACCAAATTGAAACAGAAAGCAAAAACCAGAAATCGCAGATATTGACGATGCTGAAGGTGAGGATGGCTGGCCTGACTCAGAACATTGAGGAGATCTTGATGGGCGTGACGGTGAAGGTCATGACGACGTGAACGGTGACAGCAGCTTCGAGACTACTTGACGGTAAGAATACGGTAGCGTCGAGAAGATTGACGCAAGAATAATAGTTAGTGGCAGAGAAGATGTTGTACAAGAGAATAGGGAAGATAGGAAAGAAGAGGGAAAATGAATTAGGGATCAGGCAGGAGAAAGGGGGAGATATAATTGTCCTTTCGCAGCGTTTACACGAAAAAATTCCACTAATGTACGTGATTTTGCAGCGTTTTAATTTAAAACGCCAATATTGCATAAGTTTATAGCGGCGTTTTTACAAAAACGCCACTATATATCTGGGCTATTGCGGCGTTTTATACATAAACGCCACTAAAGTACATGTTTTTAGCGGCGTTTAAACACTGCTATATATTCGGATATTGCGGCGTTTTTTACATAAATGCCACTAAAGTACGTGTTTTTAGCGGCGTTTGCACAAAAACGCCATTATATATTTGGATATCGCGGCGTTTTTTACATAAATGCCACTAAAGTACACGTTTTTAGCGGCGTTTGCACAAAAATGCCACTATATATTTGGATATCGCGACGTTTGTCAAAAAACGCCGCTACATGTAAAAAATCACTGGCGTTTGCTGTAAAAACACCGCTAAAAACCATTTTTGTTGTAGTGAATATTGGAAATGGATGGTTGCCATAAATTGTTCCTATAAATCAGATTGCAGGTTCTCAATCCTAAAAAAAATTAACAGGAGCAAATGAGAAACCACATGTTTTGGTTATCCCATATCCAGCACAAGGCCATGTCATTCCTCTCATGAAATTCTCCCAAAACTTGGCCGAACAAGGCATCAAAATCAGCTTTCTTAACACAGAGTTCAATCACAAGAGAGTCCTCGATGCATTTGGCAAGAATGTGGCTGTAAACGGCTTACTTCGTCTAGTTTCGGTCCCTGATGGACTGGAAGATGGGGAAGACAGGAACCAGTTAGGGAAGTTCAATGAAAGACTACGCGAGGTTATGCCTAGACAGCTGAAGGAGTTCATTCATAAGGTTAATGCATCGGATGATGATAAGATTTCATGTGTTTTAGCTTATTTATGCATTGGGTTTGGGGTCAATGTTGCGGCCGAGCTGGAGATTCCGACGGTGGGATTTTGGCCAGCCTCGGTGTTTCAACTAATGTTGCTTCTTAGTATCCCAAAGCTTATTAATGACGGATTGATTGACGAAAATGGTAAGTATTTCTATATAAGAAGTATCACTTAATTCTCATTGATTATAACTTAAATCTGTTCTGCAGTCACCCCACTTCAAGATAAGATATTTCAGTTGTCACCAATGTCGCCTGCTGTACACCCAACGAATTTTTTATGGCTTAGCATTGATGACACTCCTTCAACACAAAAAAATCTGTTTGATTTCACAAGGGAGAACAACAAATCTGTTGAAACAACAGATTTGGTACTTGGCAACTCATCCATTGAACTGGAGCCTGAAGGGTTCAACATGGTTCCCAAAGTCCAACCTATAGGTCCACTCCCAGCAGCCAATCGGCTCGGAAACTTGTCGGGGAATTTCTGGCCCGAGGATCCAACTTGTCTGCAGTGGCTAGATGGACAACCACCTGGTTCGGTCATATACGTTGCATTTGGTAGTTTCACAGTTTTTGACGAAATTCAGTTCCAAGAGTTGGCTTTGGGACTTGAGCTCACCAAAAGGCCATTCCTTCGGGTCGTAAGGGAAGATTGTACAAAGGGGAAACACCATTTTTACCCAGAAGGGTTTAAAAAAAGAGTGGGGAATGGAGGCAAGATGGTGAGTTGGGAACCACAAGGAGCAGTGTTGCGACATTTTTCCATTGATTGCTTTATAAGTCACTGCGGGTGGAATTCCAGCATTGAAGGCGTGAGCAATGGGGCTCCCTTCTTGTGTTGGCCTTACTTTGCAAACCAGTTCCTGAACGAGAGCTACATATGTGATATTTGGAAGGTCGGATTGAGATTCGAAAGGGACGAAAGAGGGATTATCGGAAAAGAAGAGATTAAAAGCAAGGTGGAACAATTGGTTGGTGATGATCATCTCAGAACAAGAGCTGTTGAACTGAAGCAAAGGGTTACCAAAACTGTTGGTGAAGCTGGAACTTCTGGTAAGGTATTCGAGGATCTTGTTCAGTGGTTGAAATCATAGCATATATTTTTCTTGTTCTCCTAATATGTGCGTTATATTGTTTGATTATGACATGCATGTATTATTATAATGTATAAACAAAGACAAGCAGGGGTGTAGCTAGGCCTACCTAGGTCAGGGCCCAACCCATACTCAAAAGATGTAAATTATTTATTTAGTCACTCATTTATTATTTAGTTTCCGTTTCGATCATCCAACTATTATTTATTTTAAACCATACCTAGTGTTACATTTTGATTCTATTTTGGTCACCCGACTTTAAAAAAATTAACGGTGATGTTGATGTGTCATCATAAGATAATACCACATCAAGATTGAAAAATAATTAAAAAATGTCACGTTAACATCATTGTTAGTTTTCAGATGTTAGATGACCAAAATAGAATCAAAACATAAGGTTAAGTATGGTTTTGAAAAAAAAAATAGTTGAGTGACCAAAACATAAATTAAAATAATATGTGAGTGACCAAATATATAATTTACCCTTAGTAAAAATATGCATGAATCATCCTAACCAAATTATATAGCTCCTATTAATATATTTTTTCTAGATCCATATATATATAATTGTTATTATATTTTTAAATTAAAAATATAAACGAATTATGTTAGATGAATATTTTTATATTTATATTGATCATATTCATAAAATTTTCATGGATCCGCCAGTGAAGAGAAGGTAATGAATTCTTAATTTGAACACTTGAATGATAAGTATAACATAAATCTGTGTACATGGTTATTCAGCTCAACACATATATTTCTTTTATTCAACACGACTAATATAACATCTTTAACTACACGCAATGGATTTTACCCTTCTGTTTAAGATTGTTTGGAAGGATAGAAAATCCTCCATTGTATGAGCAGATATGCACAACATTCTTTTTAAAGAAAAAATCATGGATTGCTGAAGCAACGGAAGCAGGAAAACCAGCTTGGACTTGTAGCGTTTTCGGGAGTTTGTGGTTTCGGTTCTTCAGTACATTGCTCCGGTTCCGGTTCTGGTTCTGGATCTTGCTCTTGCCCTTGCTCTTGCCCTTCGGTGCCACTCAGCCTGAAACGATTTCGATGATATATTCATGGAACTTATAAGCAAATAATTAAAGCTTTCAAACGGAGAAAATGGTGGTGTTTTCTTACACAGGGAATACAAAGGAAAAGGTACTCTCATCAGAAATACCAGAGACGCTACTTGTACATAAATTATGGACCTCAGCTGGGACTTTCATTTCATGGCTATGGTCATCATCCTTTGCAACTTCATTTGTTCCGACCACCATCGTCGGCGTTTCTTTTGCTTCCAAACAATCATTGCCTACACTTTCCTCCATCGCCGCCATCTCTTCTAGTTCTTTCAGTGAAGGCATCACATCGCCGTGGGCGATGATCTGCTCGTCTAATTTGGTAAACTCTCCTGTTTTATACATTGAAAGAAATTGTTCCTTGGAGAGGCTGTTAGTTCCAATATGAATGCTGAACAATGATTCATTTGAAGCAATGCTCCACTCCACTGCAGGTTTACTACTGAAAATGGACGACGGTACCCGATTCCATATGTTACCTTCTAATGCTTGCTCTTCAATCATGTTATTTGAGGACTGCTCATTTGTAGTCGTCAATGGAACATTTAAAGGTGTCGATGACTCTATGAGTTCGGAATCCCCAAGGTCTCGGTTCCGAGAAGAAGATGATGATGACGATGAAGAAGAAGATGCTGAGCTTTCGTTCCTTGAAAGAGATTTAACTTGAACTCTATCATCAGTCCCCATTTTCTGTATTATAAAAAGAAAACAAAATACAAAAACATCACATAATTATAACAGGAAACACCTTTTTTTTCATATAAATGAATGAAACTGCAAATAAACTCGCTTAAAATTCCTTTGAGAAATTTGTTGGTATGTGCAATCTATCCTTTTTTTGGCTTATAAAACTCAAAGATGGAAGATTTGCATCAGAGTTAGTAGGGGTGTTGTAAAGCTAAAAATGGAAGGCAAAGAGAAGGTTTCGGGTTAGGTTCATCGTCTTGGGTTTTGGCTTCAAACCAGAATAATGAAAATGTTAGGCCATTTTCTTCAACAAATTACAAAACCATATTTATTAACAACATTTGGTTCAATGGGAACATGCAACAGCCTTACAAAAAAAGAAACAATCCGGTTATCGGTTGAAGTCTCAAAATGTGTAAACCACGCTGGAGTCTTTCAATAGATTCTCGTTTTTTATTCTAATTATGGTCATTTATTCAGATATATGGTAATGGTTGGAACTAAAAATAATGTTATTATTAGAACAAGATTCACGTTCAAAAACTACATGAAAGAAAATGAAAAAGATTAAAACTCATATATAGCATTATTTTTGCTAGTGATTTATATTGATATGAACACCATTTCAGACAAATTCAGCAGGTTCAAGAATCTATCTGGTTTTAATCTCTCGAAACAGCAAACATCAGTTCTGAGAAAGACCAATATCTTGTACACGCAACTCATGAATCTGCAACATCGAAGAACACAGTAAATAACTCGAAAAAAGAGAGAATAAAACTTCATAGATTACAATGTTGAATTGGATGAAAAGGGTCGATCAAGAGCAGATTACAATCTTGACTAAGTTTCGAAAATTACCTTAGTTTGATTTATACTAGGTGGTAACAGTGAACCTGCAGCTTTCCTGTTTCTTGCAAGAAGACCTCTTGTAACAGGCGACATCATAGAATCAGTCGGACTTCTATACCTGAAACAAACCAGTAAAAGAAGAAACAATTTACGCATAGAAAGTCATGAAACTGATAATGATTTTAAACCTACATATATATAGTTATATTTAGAGTTGCATACCTTTCAGGATACTTGAATGCTTTGGGGACTTTAAGCCTGTCCGGGGTGCATGTTTTTCGCAAATATTTGCCTGAATCTCGAAGATTCTCATCAACTTTCTGGTCCTGGAGTGGTGGGGTATTCCCCAACTCACCATTTTCGGGCCAAGTTGAACTGTTAAAAGGATTTTCAATAGCTTGCTCCACCATTTCCATGCATGTTTTTCGCAAATCTTTTCCTGAACCTTGAGGATTCTCATCGAGTTTCTGATCCTTGAGCGATGGGGTATTCTCCAATCCACCATTCCCGTGCAGAATTGAAACACTAAAAGGCTTTTCTGTCGCTTGATCCGCCATTGAAATGAGAAATGTTGCTTTGAACTATGTATAACAAAGCCTTGAATTCGAGTGACGTTGAAGAATTAGATATATGGAATTGAAAGCTTTGAATTAAAGTATGTGTGTTTGAAAATATATGTATAAATAAAATGGAAAATTGGGAGGGATTGTAACGGTCTCATTTTGAGGGCCCCTACTAGCCGTTGAGATTTAAATAAAGTTGAATTTGGAGTTTTAGGTTAGAGATAATTTAGGCACTAAATAAAAAATTATTAATTGCTTAACATATTAACTTCTGACACCAAAGTGAATGAAAGGATCCTTTACAGTAAAAAAAAAAAAGAGATAAAAAAGCTTCGATGTTTTGCCATTTCACCAAGATACAAAAGGAAACTACAGTCTACATTATTGGAAAATTACAACCAAATATACAACACAAATTCTATCACAATCCAATCTTCTAAATGCTGCAACGCAAGTAATCTCACTGCCATAATTTGGAGTTACCACCTAGTTTGCATTTGATAAGTGTTAGCCGGTTACGATAACAAGAAGAATCAAAGCAAAACACATGCTTGATACTTGCTTGATAGAAGCCATCGGACTCACAAGGCCCAGAATGGTTTTCCAACTCCATTTGCATTGGAGTTATTATTCAAGGATTTGTCACTGTTTTCCTCGGAATCATCATCTTCATCCCCATAAGACATTAACTGAATCAAGGTGTCTGAAACAACCAACAAAATTTGGTAAGTACTAAAAGTTCACAATTCAAGAAACCTTTACTAGAACAAGAAGCATTTAAAATAGCCAGTTTAGGAATCAATCCTACCAGGGACAGCCTCAAGTTTAGCTTTACTGCTAGCTTTGTTCTTGTCATGCAATTTTTCAGTAGGTGTAGATGACGTGAATTTGGGTGGAGGTGGAGGTATCATGACTTTTGGAGGCGGAGGTTCTTGGAGGTGGTGGCGGCATTCCATTACATGAATGGATTAATCAGCTTCCTTGGGACAGGCATAGTCGAAACATTTCTTGCTCCTAAATCTCCCAATGGCTTGTTTGGATTCAAAGATTCAGATTCCTGAAATGAGTTACAGAAAAACAATCCAAGCCTAATTTCTCAATGGTAGTAATATAATAGTTAATGAGAAACATCTGGGGAAAGAAGAATGTTAAGATCTAGAGGGTACTATGCAAGAGAAAAAATGACATGGAATTATAGAAAGGCCATGATTTGGTTAGATAATTTGACCCTCACTGAACAGATGTTAGGATCCATAAGCCAACAATCGAGGATTGAAATTTTCAAATCAAGAACTAAGGTATCTTGCGGCAAGATGCCAAATAAAAAAAGATTAGAAAACGAGTGTCACTGTCAACAAATAACAGTTCCAGTGGCATCAACTTATGTACTTACTGAAATCTATTTCATGCATTTTCAGTAGGAGCTGCTCATTCTATAACACTAGCCATGGAAGGCACGGCACTAGAAATGCAAAATTCATGATATGAGGCCTACACAACCAATCAAAGAGTTAAATTCTTGAAATGGTCCCTGGCCATAGTTTTGAAGCAGGAAAAGCTCATCAAATTGCTCCTTCAAAACTGAAAACCCTGTGAAACATACAAACCAATGGCCCCAACAGAGGTCGAGTATCAGCCTATTAGCGTTTTAGGTCAGAGAAAATACCTGGAATGATAAGCAGAGAAAGTAAGCAGATAATATAATCATAAATCAAATAGCATACTGCAACATATTACATTTAATCACATTAACTTGCAAACGTTTCCCCTTTTTATATAATGTTTCTTCCCCTATCTAAGGGGATGAGCCTTGAGCTGAATGCATAAACATAAGGGGCACATGTACCAGCATGAGTCGGCAGAATAGAGGATTGCAACCATGACATCAACCATGGCAACACATGCAGACAAACCTGATTGACTTAGGAACTACCCATGCTAAGGCCACTCAGGATTGAGATAGTTAAAAAAGTGAAGTTCAAGAATTAGCAAGATGGAACCATTGTCCTTTACATTCCCCACCATATGAACTTTGGCCTAGGATTTCTAAATGAATATGGCACTTACACAAGACTGTCATGAACCAGAATTTGTAAACTATTTGAACATAAGCCAGAAAGGTGCAAGACTTTATATTTGGCCATTATGGTACCCAAATAATATAAATTTGTATACCTCAGCTTCGCTTGAAGGGTAACTAACAGAAAATGCACCTGTACCTGGTTGAGTATTGAAGAGCCCTTTGAACCAGTTGGCAACTCCTGGAACTTCTGCTTTTGTGGAGGCCGTTGCTCTTTCTCTGAATGCAAAGTAGAGCTAACACTTGATCTGGTTACCGTACTGACACCTGACATTGTAGGAACGCTAGCACCTGCTACAGATGTTGCAGGTACAACAGTAGAGGAGATCGGAGATGATTGTCTAAGGGCTAATGCTACCTCTTGCAATGGTGTTGCTTTGGGGCATATCCCACCATATCCAATATAGCTTGTCCCTCTAGTAACCAAAGGCTGTGGATAACCAACTGAATTTGCCTGGGTTGGCCATGAATTAGGCATTCCCACAGCCATCCCTTGAGAATAACCCGCAGTGACCCCAGGGACTAACACAGGTGGAGCTGGAGGAGCAACTGGCATCGATGTCAAACCAGAAGCTGAACTAGCATTTCGACTTTTTTCGGTTGCAGAACCTTGAACTCCAGTCAACAACTGCTGTGGAGGTGGAACTGCAACATAAACCTTACTTGATGAAATCCTAAAATGAATGGAAAGCAACAGGTTACTCCAATCCAAAATGAAAACAATGAGACTGTAAAATTACTATCAACACCCCTCGGCAAAACAAAAACTTGATTACCTGGAAGCACCAAACTCTAGACTGATAGTGTCGAGGAGATTCTCGGCCAAACGCTTGGCATCATCAAGACTTTTAGGATTGTTACTGGACAGGAATAAGTGCAGTGGTTGTTGTGCTTCTGCAACCACAAGAAGACCAAAAAAACTATAATATTTTGATAAAATCATATAGTAACAGCATAAATCCTTTGGTTTGCCTAAAATTATAAAAGAAATAGGAAAAGAAAAAGAGACTGCATTTTGCACAGCATAAAAGTACCTTCACCCTGCAGTCTCTCAGTATAACACCCCCAACCCGTACCCGACCCGGATACGAGTCAGAGATACTACATTGACTTTAAAATACAACTCTTGACAAATAATAGCAAAATATTTGAACTTATATTAAGAAAATACAATAATATACATATTGTAATATAAGTTTATCAAAATGTTCAGAGCATACACAACTTAACCCTTTAATTACATGCCAACTGCCATTTACATAACAAAATGACCTACTGATTAAGTTTGCTTCTGATCTGGTGGTTGCAGGAGTAATGCTGTCAAGCTGCTTCACATGTCTCGTCTATTTTCTCGGATCCTACGTGTGAAACACTCACACGCTAAGTCATCGACTTAGTGAGGCAATAATAATAACAAGGCAATGTAATGAAAATGTCATGATCATATGAGATGAGATGTAAACATGTACTTAATCAATGTAATATACATCATCAATATCCATACCTGTAAGCGTATGACTGTAACATTCATGAATCTGTATTAATAAGTTTATTGGCCCATGATAGCATATTGAGAACCTAAGGTATCTGAGTAATGTGAGGTTGTGCACTATGTTGTCACCACAGCTCGTATAATTGCACCGAAGTGCCGCGTAGAATTGCACCGTAGTGCCATATAATGATGTCCATAAGGACCACATATAATTCCTTAAGAATCATATACATATACTAGGGATCAAGTATGTGTCTTTCCAAGACTTCACACATGTTCCACAGAATATATATATATCCCGAAGGACCGCGTAGAATTGCACCGTAGTGCCATATAATGATGTCCATAAGGACCACATAGAATTCCTTAAGAATCATATACATATACTAAGGATCAAGTATGTGTCTTTCAAGACCTCACACATGTTCCAAAGAATATACATATGTCCCGAAGGACCGCGTAGACCCTCTACCCTTGGCATGCCAACTATACCTATAGTTCTCATCTACATAACATGGGCTTTTACATTTCACGTAGTCTATATCGCGTAGACATGTAATTTCTTACCTTTTCACATAGCTCATAACTTTTCCCACATATTCATGTCATATAATGCATTTTATATGAACTCATGTCATGTCTCATAATACAGAATATGCTCATGTACCAAGATATAAAATCTAGACTTATCACAAGTCTAGAATGAAATATATTTCTATAATCATGCTATGCATATGCACTCACCTATACTTCTTTGCCTTTTCCTCGGTCGATCCTACTTGTAGATTGTTCCCGAACTCGTGTAGGCTCGGTATCTACATAAACATAATTTTCAAGATGATCATCAGATGTCTATGTCTTGAATTTAAGCTTTAATAGCTTCCTAATTTAAGAAATTAATAGCTTAGTCTTTCTTTCTTTTCTTCTTTTTTTTTCTCATGGGGGAATCGGTTCCCCCCCTGGGGGTATCGATTCCCCTCCAGCATTCTGGAAATTCATATTCGTTGAGGGGGTATCGGTTCCCCTTGAATGGGAACCGATTCCCCTAATCCGAAAATCCTATTTTGAGCTCGAAAATCCTTTCCTTTCAGCTCAAATATACATATTTCACTCCCTTTAATACTCTTAGCTCTCATACACTTACTTAAACTAATTATTATCCATTCCATACCTCTAAAGCTAAAGAAACTAATCATCCATATAGAATTGAAGAATCTTACTCAAATTCCAACTTGTTCTAATTTCAATTCTATTACCTCATACTTCTTAATTAACTTATTGACAAGTCAAAAATCTTATTCAAACTTCAAAAACTCATCCATATCAAAATTCCATCAAAATTCCATCTAAAAAAAAACTGGTTTTAAAAAAACTAAGGAGCAAAAAAACAGTTTTCTGAAAACATTTTCCCAAAGCCTGATGGAGAGAGATAGTGACGTAGAGAGAGAAAAATTGAGAGGGAAAGTTCCTTCAGAGAATGTTTGGACGGCGTTCGTTGATCACCTCAGTAAACGAGTGTCTCGACGAGAGTTAAGGGAGTTGTTTTCATCTCACGGTCCGGTAGTCAGAGTGTTCATTCCCAGAGAAACAAGGAATCCGAAATACAAATTCTTTACTTTTGCTTTTGTGCATTTTGGCAATGAGGAAAGTCTAAAAAGGGCGATAGCCAAACTGAATGGTTCGATGATTGATGGTTGGAGGATTTCAGTGGGTACTGCAAGATACAAGGATGCTAGGGTGAGGTCAGTCGGGAACAATACTTCCATGATGTTGCCTTCAAGGTCGAACACAGAAGATCATTCAAGGTCCAAAGAGAAAGGTGTTATTAACAGGAGTGTAAGAGATACAAGATCTTACAAGGAGGCCTTACTGTCTGATAGATTGAAGAGCAATGCATCGGACCATAGGGATCGGTCGATCGATGGTTTCAACAGGAGGAAAGGTATAAAAAATAGTTGGGAAATGCATATTCCGTCAGAGAGCTCCAGTTGGGTGAAGAGATCATTAACGGGGATCATCAAACATTCTTTTGAGTTCGAATTAGTCCAGAAGGCCTTAGTTAATGAAGGTTTTGATGTCCAGATTTCCAGATGGGGTTATGTCTGGAATTCTTGTGTTATTATATTTAAGTCGACGGAAGAAATGATGGATGCATGGCTAGAGAAAAAGGATGAGTTATTTTTCTGGTTTGATAGATTGGCACTTTTATTGAACGATGATGGTGTTCCAATGGCTTTTTGCCTCGTACATCTATTTGGGGTTCCATTGTTATGTTGGCAAAATTCTTTTTTGGAACGGGTAGTAGGAAAGTGGGGATTGGTGGAAGAGATTCATGAAGATACAGTCAACAGAACAGACCTATCGATGGTGAAGATTTTGGTTAGGGTGGCCAGCCCTTATGATGTCCCTGAGGAGATAACTATTGGATCCTATGGAAGGTCGTTCAAAGTCAAGATTAAGCTGGGTTCGGTGCTTGAGTATTCTTCAGTTTCCTTTAACAAGTCGCCGGTGGGAGGCTCCGATGAGAGAAAATTTGGAGAGAAACTTTCTGGAGACAGTCTGTCAGATAGCATGGAAAGTGCTGAACGTTCAGAAGAAAACAGCAGACAAAAGGTAGATATTTGGTTTGACCAAGGAACTAACACGGGTTTGTTTGGAGTTGGTGAGGAATTTCAACTCCCAACGATTAACAAAGTTGGGAAAGGCATTAATGGTGTGAAGTCAGCGTGTCAGGATCTTGGGAATAACAATTATGGTGAATACGCGGGTTTGGGATGCAGATTTTCAAATTTTTCGGCTGATGGGTCTGTAGCCCAATCATCAGATAATGGGCCACTTGGTTCTCCACCTCTTAAAATTATTCCAGCTGGGCCTCTTGTTAAGCTGGATAAATTTGGGAAAATGGACCAGAAGCAGTTTCTGGTTGAATCTGCAAACTTAGAGGAAGATAACAATGGAGGTCTGCCACTTTCTGGTTTGAGAAAGTGTTCTAGAGGATTGGAATCAAATTTAGAGGAAAAGCCGATTGACTACATTCTATGTTCTGGAAGTAAGATTTCCAGGGGAAGAACGCTTGAGCGATCCAACTCTCCATTGTCTACAAAGAGTGAACCGTTGGAAAAGAGAAGAAGTATTAGCTTCAAAAGGGTCTATAAGAGATCCAGGGAGAGAAGACATTGGTTAGAGAAAGATGAAATTGTTGTTCCTCGAGAAGAGGAATCTCTAGAGAGCCCAAATGGGAAGATTGTGGATACTAATTCAGTTCTGCTGGTCAGTGCAGTTGCAGAACCTAATTTGGAAGGCTGTATGGGGCTTACTTTGGAAAGGCATGTTGTTGATAACAGTTTGGAAAGTATGGGTGAAGGGTGGCACTTACAAGGAGATAGTTATTCTTTCAACTCTAAGTCTTCTAATAGAAGAGCCAAAAGATTGTTGACCAGACTTGCTTTGGACCAAGTTAGCATTGAAACAGTTTCTTCTTCAGATTTTGCTGTTCTTTTGGAGGAAGCTCTAGCTACTTGGGAAATTAGTAATAGATTGGGTGTGTCTTTCAAGGGTGGGAAATCAGCCTTTTTGGAGAAAATAATAAAGTTGGAGGAGGAGTTGAGGCTGGTCTGATTTTCGGTGCTTATTGGGTTTTCTATTACTTATTGGAATCATGATGAAGTTTCAATTAGCCATTATTACGTGGAACGTTAGGGGCTTGGGAAGGAAGGAAAAACACAGAGCTGTTCAAAATCTAGTTTTAAAGAGACGTCCTATTTTTCTTCTATTGCAAGAAACTAAAGTGGAGAAGGTTCAGAGACAATTTTTAAGGAGAAGTGGTTTGAATACTCTTCAAGGCTTTGCAGAATCTCCAGCAGTGGGTTCTGCTGGAGGGCTATTGAGTTGCTGGGATGAGTGCTCTTTTGAAGTTGACAATCTTATTATAAACAGAAGGTTTATTGCAGTTTTTGGAAAGTTTCGAACTTCACAGTTTAGGTGTGGTTTTATTAATGTTTATGGGCCTAGTATTGAAGAAGAGAAAGCAAGCTTCTTTGAAGAGTTAGCTGTTTTATTTGTGGACTGAATATCCCTTTATGTGTGGGAGGTGATTTTAATGTGCATCTCTCTGAAGAGGAAAAGGTGGGGAGAGCTCCAAACAGAAGTTCAATAAGGATTTTCAGCCAGTTTCTGCAACATACAGGGTTAATCGATTTACCTTTACATGGGGGCAGATTCACGTAGTGTAACAACCAGGATTTACCCACCTATGTTAGACTGGACAGGTTCCTCGTTGATGTTCATTTCCTAGAAGCATTTCCTGATGTTACACAATACTTGCTGCCAAGGTCAGTGTCAGATCATAATGCTGTTTTTCTGGAGAATGAGGGGGTCAGTTGGGGGAAGAAACCCTTCAAACTCTTTAATTATTTGATGGAAGAGGACGGTTTCCAGAACTTAGTAGAGTCTACTGTTAAAGAATGCAAGTCTGATCAGAGGAAAGCAGGAATTCTATCTATCCTGAAATCTACTAAACTGTCGATCAAACAATGGGTGGGGAAGAGAGACCATTTTCCTTCTGTAGAGATTACAGATTTAGAAAAGAGGATTCATTTGGAAGAGGTAAACCAGCAGCAGAGGCAAGGTACATATGGTTGGGACAGAGGATCAGATTTGAATAATATGAGATCAGAATTATGGAGGTTGTATAAGATTGAAGAACAGATATGGTTTCAAAAGTCGAGAGCTAGATGGGTGGAAGAAGGGGACCGCAATACAAGATTTTTTCATACTTGTGCGTTGATTAGGAGAAAGAGGAATTCCATGTATGCTTTGAATGTCAATGGAGGGATAACCCAAGATCCATCTGTCATCAAAGCTTGTGTCAAAGACCATTTTTTTGGAATTTACAACTCTAGTTCTACTTTGGAAGTAGAAGATATGAAGATGAATTTTTCAAAAATTTCAGTGGAGCAAAGTAATATTCTGGAAAAAGAATTCACGGAGGAAGAAATATGGGAGACTCTACAATCATGTGATAGCAACAAAGCTCCCAGCCCGGATGGTTTTAATATGGGCTTCTTCAAGAAATTTTGGGTTGTTCTTAAGGTTGATATTCTGAAATTCTTTCATAACTTTTATTTAGGGAAAGATTGGGAACATGGAGTAAATCATACTTTCATTACTCTTATCCCCAAGGTGGCCAATATTGGTGGATTAGATGACTATAGACCTATAAGCCTTGTAGGAGGTTTGTACAAGATCCTCTCAAAATGTCTTTCGAGGAGATTAAGGAATTGCATTTCCGATGTAATAAGCCCTATGCAGTTTGCTTTCATTCCAGGTCGTCAAATTCTGGATTGTTCTCTTATAGCCAATGAGGGGATTGATTTCTGGAGGAAAAAGGGACTTAAAGGTTGTGTGTTTAAAGTGGATTTTAGAAGGGCTTACGACACTGTGGATTGGTCTATTCTTTTTAAGGTTATGGAGAAAATGGGTTTCGGTTCTAAATGGAGAAGTTGGATAAAACAATGTGTTACTACTGCTTCTATTTCAGTATTGATAAATGGGGTACCTTCTCAGGAATTTCCTATGGCTAGGGGTCTCCGCCAGGGCTGTTCTCTTTCGCCCTTGCTTTTTAACTTAGTTGGGGAACTCCTAAATGTTTTGCTCTTAAAGGCTGTCTCTGATGGACTGTTTTCTGGTCTGCATATTGGGAGGAATGAGACTGCTTTCAACTTATCTCATCTGCAATTTGCAGACGACCTAATTATTTTCTGTGGGGCTTCGAAAATGGAAATTTCAAATGTTAAAAGGGTCTTAAGAGTGTTTGAAGTTATGTCTGGTCTGCAGTTGAATCTTAAGAAAAGCAAGCTATTTGGTGTTAATACGGCTACAGAGGAGGTGGAGGAGTGGGCGTCGTCTATTGGCTGTGCAGTGGGGAAATTTCCTTCTGACTATCTAGGTTTGCCTCTTGGTGCAACACGGAATTCAACCGCTCTTTGGGATCCAGTTGTTTCAAAATTTAACAACAAACTAGCAGGTTGGAAAGCTGCCACCCTTTCCTTGGCAGGGAGACTAGTTTTGATTAAATCGGTTCTCTGTTCTCTTCCTACTTACTACTTGTCTATATTCAAAATTCCATCATCCGTAACTTCTAAACTCAACTCAATCATGTCTAAGTTCTTATGGGGAGGAGGAGCGGAGAAAAATAAGATTCATTGGGTTAGTTGGCTTAACGTGTGTAAGCCAAAGGAGGCTGGTGGTTTAGGAGTGTTAAATATTAGCAATATGAACAGGGCACTATTGGGGAAATGGTCTTGGAGATTTGCAAATGACAAGGATGCTGTTTGGAGGAGAATGATCTGTTCAAAATACAATATTGATCCTTTTTCTTTATTGTTCAATCGCAAAATCCCAGCTCAAGCTTCTTGGATTTGGAGCTCGGTGGTGAATTCTTATTTTAAAGAAGACTCTTTTGGTTGCTATTTTCGCAGCATGTTCAGACTAGAAGTTGGGAATGGTCAATTTATTCAGTTTTGGCAGGACAAATGGGCAATGGACTGTCCTCTTAAGGTTTCTTTTCCGAGGTTGTTCGCAATCTCTACAAACCAGCTTGGAAAACTGATTGAATTTGGCGAGTTCAGCTCTTTGGGATGGATCTGGAATATTCAGTTGAGGAGAAGCTTAGCCGATTGGGAATTTGAACAGTGGGCTAACCTGATGGCTATCATTTCTAATTTTTATCTGTCTAAAAAGGCAATCGATGGTCTGATTTGGAAAGGAAACGGAATTGGTGTCTATTCTGCTAATTCATGTGTGAAGACTTGTTCTTTGGCTCAGAAGGAGGATTATGTTTGGAAGAAATTTGTGTGGAAAGGTCTGGTGCCACCAAGAGTTGAGGTATTCATGTGGCAGGTAGTTCTTCAAAAACTGCCAGTGAGGTCTGAACTGGTTAAGAGAGGGGTTACGGGTATAACAGATCCTTCTTGTCCTTTATGTAATTTGGAGGTTGAATCTTCTTCTCACTTATTTTTCTCGTGTTCAGTTGTGTGGTCACTTTGGAACAAATTTGTGCAGTATTGGAGTCTTTTTGTGGTTTTTCATACAAATGCGCAGAAGTTTCTTCAAGCTTGGGAAGATCTTAATCCTAGGTCTGCCATTTGGAAGTTCATTCCTGCCGTTGTTATTTGGACTGTTTGGAAGGTAAGAAATGATATTGTTTTTGATAGAGGGAAGTTTGACCATCTTAATCTATTTTTCTTAGCAAGAGTACGACTTGCATCTTGGTTCTCAGCTAAGTTTGCAGATTCTGGTATTTCAATGGATTCTCTAATCGGGGACCCGTCTCTTGGGGATTCATGCTTCCCTCTCAACAAATCGATGGTTACTACAGTTCCTTGGTCCCCCCCTCCTAAGGGCTTTGTAAAATTGAATGTGGATGCTGCTACAAATTCGGATTGGAACAGCAGTGGAGTTGCGGGTATTCTAAGAGATGAGGAAGGTCTTATTCTAGGATCTTTTAAGGAGGCCACGGGTCCAGGTCCACCTATTATGATGGAGCTAAGGGCTATTCAGAAGGGCTTAATTTTCTTTGATTCAGTGAAAGGAGGTATTAATGGTCGTTTATTGTTAGAATCAGACTGCAAATTGGCCGTGGATTGGGTTAAGAATGGAACTTTCTGCCCTCAGATTTTTGTCAGTCTTGTAAGGAACATAACTATCAAGCTAAAAGAAGTTGAGGGTGTTATTAGATGGGTTGCTAGGGCAGCCAATATTGAGGCTGATGGGATGGCTAAATCTGCCATTGGCTAATTCCAGTGTATCTTAGGGGTATTTTATTTTGGGTTTTTCAAATTGTTGTAAGGGGCTTCTTCTTGTTGTAATCTTAGGTATTATCATTAATGAAGTTTAAGGCACTCTTTTCCTCCTTCCTCTGATGAAGGAACTCATTATAAGTTCCTTAATCAAGAAGGAGGTTTTTAATGAGGCCTACAATTCCTATCAAAAAAAAAAAAATTCCATCTAAAAACTCATTTCCCAAATCTATCTCTAAAACACTTATCTTGTTTTAATGTCATATAAGCTTTCCTTTAACTTATATAACATCCAAACTTTCATTTCCAATCTTAAAAATCAAAGAAACTACCAAGGTTCAGATTCTTACCTTTACTTGCAAGCTCCACGTTTGGAGAAGGAAAAGAAGAAGATAAGAAAGAAGGAAGAAGAAATGAGAGAATTCTGGAAACCTAATGCTCCACGTGGGTTCTAATATATCCCATAACATTTTTTTAATTACAATTTTCTTCCTTACAAATGACCATTTGGTCCTTACATCCATTTCATATTTACTAACCATTCTTTTTAAACTATATAATTATTCTACTTCAATCACCAAATGTTGAAACTTTGCAAATTAATCACTAACCCGGCATGGAGGATGTTACACTCAGAGTTTCCAGAACCACATCCTTGTAGCGTGACAGTTGCACCCGTTTCATTCATAATGTGATTCATATATTGGTCCTGCAAGTACAAAACCAAACCACCAAGAACACAAAAGCATGCTCTCCCAATTGCATGGAGATGTCAGAGAGAGCTTCAAACATTAGAATCTCTCATCTTTATCAAATCAAATGAAAATTTTAAATAAAATGATTAAACAGAATTCTCAAACAATTAAATCAGAACAAGACATGAATAACAGATGCGTGCACATTAGTAAGACGGTTTGCGATGAAGGGTTTGTTGAGGGAAGGTTAGAATTAGTCCACATCCTTAACATCAGATAGCTGATTCTCATTTAATTATACAAAGATTGTATTGCCATCTAATTGTACAATCTAATGGCAGAATAAAACCACAGCTACAGGTCACAGATAATTATAAGATTATACAGAACAAAAACATGGCCTTTAACTAGGCATAACAAAACCTCAAGATAACATATGCGAGTAGTATATAATCCCTTAAAGGATTAGTGAAAGTGCAAAACCGAAGTAGATGAAAATCTCACATCCATAACATCAGATAGCTGATTTTCAATTAATTACACAAAGATTGTATTGCCATCTAATTGTAAAGATTGTATTGCCATCTAATTGTACAATCTAATGGCAGAATAGAACAGCAGCTACAGGTCACAGATAATTATAAGATTATACAGAACAAAAACATGACCTTTAACCAGGCATAACAAAACATCAAGATAACATATGTGAGAAGAATATAATCCCTTAAAAGGATTAGTGAAAGTGCAAAACTGAAGTAGATGAAAATCTCACATTTGGTCCACGAATACTTATGGCAACATTCAGTGAGGGGTCTGCATCAAAGCCCAAATATACACGTGCTAAATGCCTGAGAAACCAGGTTTGATTAGAGATTTACCCTGCAATTGATTATCTAAATCTCACAGCTCAATAATTTGGATTGCAGTTGAAGCATACCTTCACACCTTTCATCACAGCTTCCTTAAAAGGGGAAGTACCTGCCTGCGAGCTCTGACCATGTTTCAACAGTTCTTCAACCATGGCAGCTGCACGATCTACAGCTACAATTCGCTCTGCTGTCTCTTTTAACTGCAGTGATAATTAAACAAGCTTTGCTAATCTTTTTTCTTTAAATAGACCAACTATTTATCTTTTTAATGTTATTTTTCAAGTCAACCACAAGCTGAGATTAGAAGAAAAGCATATATACTAAATCTTTCATGAAGAAAAAGAAATTTCAAAATTTTCAACTATATGGCCCACAAATAGTTTGAAAAAATCAACAGATTACACTTACATGAGTGGTGGCAGATATATGAAGATAGAGAGGCTTTTCACCATCAGGCGGAGCAATTGGTGGTTGATACTTGCCTCTGCACAACAATCATGTCAAGGAGTTAAAAGGAAAACAACAAAAATAGTTGTTAAAAGGCTTCTGCACATCCTCTTAATGAAACTTACCTAGTTATCACCACAGCACCAGTGCACCTTTGAATCTGAAAGATAACGAACTTACTCATAAAAATTTAACAAAAGAACTATCTCCCCTATTTCAAAAACAAACCTTTTCTTCCATATCGCTGAGAAAAGAAAAAGAGATTTACCTCTTCCTGTGTCTGGCGCTTTGTAAGCTTGTGCCGAACAGAAGATTCCGCATCATTTATTACAATTTCTCTAGCAATCACTAATTCATCCTGGATTTTAGTCTATAAAATTGTACAAACAAAGTGCACGATTAAATTATACAAAATAAAAAATCCATAAATATACATATAAAAAACAGTTTAGCGTATTTATGTCCAATCAAATCATCAAAAAGACAAAAATACAAATTCCCTGGCATATGAGACTTCTTGGGATGCCTATGACAACATTTTGATCAGATGGTTAGATCAAAACTCCAAATATGTAACAATCCAGGCAGAGATATCCATAAAAAATACAGTACCAGCAATTAAGAAGGGAAGAAACATTCAGCACATATCCACTAAACATCTTTGGTCCATATGCTTTAATACAAAACCCAAAAGTAGAGCTCTTTTTATTCAGAAATCAAGTATGCTCTTGCAAGTCAGGTATATCAATGCTGTTAGTGATAAAGTGTTGAAATAGCAAAGAACAAATGACAGCTAATGATAAATACTTGCAAATGACATTTTATAAGACAGAACAAACTATTTCCATAATCATCCTCAAGCCTCATGCACATGTCAAGTGACAATGAATTTTCTTTGTGCAAAGCCAGCTTCTATTTTTCATACTTGATTTTGTTTTGATACCACTGGAGCAGCATGCTGTTGAAAGAATGGTGTAACAGCTATACCACTTGCAGCAAGAGTTCCAATGTTGCTAAATGGGACAGCAAATCCAGCCGAAACAAAAGCCTCTGCAGGCTGATCCCACTTTCTCTTTTTCCTGCATAACATTCAGACCATTAAAAATCGAGGCATGGCATTAATCTCCCATAAAAATTAATAAAAAAATCAAACTAATTAAAGGAATCCCATACTTTAAGTAGTTCTGAGAGAGATGCAAATTTTAATGACGAATGTACAAAAAATTACTAAAAGTTTAACATACATATTTTTAGAACCGAAATCCCTTCTCTAAAATGTAATCACAAAAAAGATACCAAACACATTTTCCTAATCAGATTAAAAAGAAACACTTTTGCCTTCCTAGAAATGATAAGCAACAATTTAGTGATGATAATTTTGATTTAATGTTTTAACAATTCTTGGTAGATGCTCTTATGCTTGATGGTCAGGAGAAAATAACTCGCTCCAACTAGAATTTTTTTTTGGCTTCCGTAATTATCGTTAAATTATATCTTGAATTCTTGATTATGCGGAAATGCTAAATACTTCAACACATTCAACTGAAACTGACAATAATTTTCATCTTTTGAGCTGATTTATTTACCTTCAATAAACTTCTAATGGGGAAATTAAGGTTTAAGAATTGAAATTTACGAGAAAACAAAAAAGAAATTCGTACCTTTGTCTTGTCTGTGAGTCATTGTTTGTTACAGTCGGGTCATCGAAAGAAATTAAGTACATGGGGAAATTAGGGTTTAAGAATTGAAAATTACGATGAAACAAAAAGATATTCGATACCTTTTTCGTGTCTTTGAAGCATCATTGCTTATAGTGGCGTCATCGGAAGAAACCCTAGAGCCACCGTCTTCCGTCATCTCTTTCCAAAGTTTTCAGAATTTCAAACAAAAAAGAAGAAAAAGGGTGTTGTTATCTAATTATCTTCCAAATTCCTAGTTTAAAAAATCGAACTTGATTTATTGTTTGTATTTGATTTCGATTGAGGCCTCAGATTGGGGTTTTCGGGCCTTCGGCTTCCCTTTCAGATGCGGGGAAAGTTTGAAGCTTTCGCGCAGAATCGAAACTGACGGGACACGTGAGATCTGATGTAAATGGCGCAATAATGTGACGTGTAACATGTTATATATGTTTACAGTAAAGCATAAACTTACTATTTAGTACTTCATCTATAGGGTCTATTCTATTTTGATCACCTAATCAAAAATTTATCAATTAGATCACTAATATTTTATTTTAGTACTTATGTTTTCTTTTCCCTTTAATCTCTTGTCTCGAATAACTTCACTTACAATCTTCAAAGCAATTTCTTTTTTCCCTTTCTTCGCGTTTAATCTACAAATTCGTTTTATATTATTTATTTTTCCCTTTTCCTTTAGCAACAACACGTGCAGTCCAATTTTAATACAATTGCGAGATCTACGTATATATGAAAAACACACATCAAATGTAGAAGAAGAACAAGTTGTTAATATTAAGGATCTTTTATTATAAAGCAAAGGTTACATACCCTAATTTTCCATACTTGGCAATAATAAACACACACTTCACGACAATGCTTTCTCCGTAAGAGAAAGCAAATTTATTTTACAATATTAAGGATTATTTATTATGATAATTCATAATTTCTTAATTACTTAATTACTTATTTAGGCATTGAGAAGGTAAGCATCAACATCTTTACACCAGGTGGTGTAAAAATCGAGGTACTCGACAGGGTCAGGGACGTCGTCGTTTTGCTTTTCGTATTCAATGGTCCATTTCACCAAGCTGCCCTCCCCCTTTGGTGTGACACTAAGGATGGATTTCCATGTCTTGTAGAGATTCCCGATTTCACCATCCATTAATGTGTAAACAATTGTCCTGGTTTTTTCATCCACCTCTCGAGTCTCCTTAACATCAAGCTGCTTACCTAGAAGAGAGCAACACAACAATGACATTGAACAAAATTATTATAATATTTCTCAAAGATCATCTCCAGAAACAATTAGTTCTTCATTAGTCGGGACTTTTAGGAAGACTTTTCCACTAATTAGAGCTACCAAAGAACTCACGTGGCCACGTCCTTGGACACAAGAAATTTCATAGCCTCTAAACTAATCGTAATATAATGATAAGATCTCTAATAGGTTCACGTGATCAACCGAGAAGAAAATCTATGATCTGACAATTAGATCTACCTAGTTTGTTGACCTATGAATTGCCGTAATGACCTTACTCCTGAATACCACAATTGCTATAAATACTTCTCAACCACCTGTGAAAGAAGAATTGGGACCACTTTTTTTCTCTATAAAAATATCGACTATGACTCTCTGTTCAAACCAGAAAAAATAAACCACAAACGACCAAGATAAATTTGTTACTATCAACAATACATAAAACTAGAAAATTAAGAAAGAAATTACAAGATTTGTTGGGATTAGTAGTGAAGAATTACCTCCAAGAACATATTGCCATAGTCGGACAGATCCCAGAGAATTCCAATCACCCTGGAGAAGTTTTACGCCGGAAAAAAGTTGTGTAATCGTGTTTGGCATTAGGTGAGCTTTGGTGTTGAAAGCATCGAAGAACTTGTCAGCTGAGGACTTGACCTCAACTTGGACATCAATCTTCCTAGTTTGAGCCATTGTCTTTGCTAGCAATGGAAACCAATAAACAATTACTTGATAACTCAATAAGTGGACTTGGGGGTGAATGTTGCCCTTAAGACACTGCCTTTATATAGGCAACGTTTGGAGCAATGGCCTTACTTTTTTTTTAACTTTTAAGTCTAGTGGTATGGATTCTCGAAGTGGTCCTCCGGAATATATATCGGAATAGAATTTGTACTTGCCTTTTGTTTCAATAATTGAAAATTGGCATCTTTTTATTAAAAAAAACATTCAAAAGCTTCTTCAGTGTCATTTTTGGTATTAAATTATAACTTATAATATTAGAACGATGATTATTGACAAAAAAAATATGATCGAAAAAGAAAAACAAAGAATATCATGATTTACGTGGAAAACCCAAAAGGAAAAACCAAGGGTAGAAGAGAATAATTTTATGAAGGAAGAAAATACAAGAGGATTTTGGTGAAAGAAAAGAACTTGATATCTAACCCTAACTCTTAGTAACTATTTATAAGTATAAATACTAGATTACAAAGGAAAACTAAATAAAATATAAATATACTTTAATAAAGTTTTCTACTTTTAATCAAACTAAGTTTCCTATTTTTCCAATATTTATATATTAATTAATTTATGTCACTTTGAATTCAAGTCAAACTCTAACAAATCTCCACCTTGACACGAATTTTGAAATTGCAAAGGTTTCGAGACAAAACACATAAATTCGATGTGACACTCAAACTCAACAAAAACAAATTTTCACTTCAACGAACAAGTTCTCCACCTCTTCCTCAACACCCCTCAAAGGGGTAATCTTCAGTAATGGACACCGACCGAATCCAAGTTTTTTCTAGGCTTGGATTTAGTCTTCACATCGACATGGTTATCATAAGTGTCAACTTTGCTCACAAATGTTTCACCACGAGCAATATCATGCACAACATGATCCCGATCATCAATGATCGTTCTATCTTTAAATTCATTATGTTCACGAAATTGAACTATTTTCTACTTCACATAGTCTTTCTTTACCCTTTCAACACAACAAGAGAGTCCTTGAAAATTTTCATAACTCCACCTTCACTGGAGAATTTGTACTATTTTGAATCTATAGTACCTAACGAAATTAAATTTCTACTCAAATCTGGAATATGTCTCACATTACCAAGTGTTCGAACAATCCTATTGAACATTTTAATCTTGATTGTGTCAATACATGCGACTTTATAAGGGACATTATTTCCCAAAAATACATCACCTGTATATACAACTTCATACGTCGCAAACCAGTCACGATTATGACTCATATGAAAACTACTACCAGAGTCAAATATTCACTCATCACTTGTTATAAAGGTGTCATCATCCGCAACTAGGAGTTCTCAGTCATCGTACTCCTCTACTATACCAACCTCACCATATTTCCCAGAGTTATGCTCTTCAGCTTTTCTTTTGATTTTATTTTGCAACTTGTAACACTCCGATTTAACATGACATTTCTTTTTACAATAGTGATAAGTTTTACCTTGGTTGGAAGATTTTGATCTACCCCTTCCAATATTATCAGAAGAATGCTCGTCTTTTCTCTTACTATCTGAGCTAGTCGATAAATGCATCACGAGACAATCTGCCTGGGGCTCGGAACCAGATACAAGATGTTTCATCTTGTCAAACGAGTGCAAGCCATTATAAACTTCTTCAAGAGTGTGTGTTTCGTAACTATATAAGATTGTATATTTGAAAGACGAGTAAGAAGGAGGCAACGAACATATGAGGATCAGTCCTAACTCTTCTTGATTATATTTCACTTCTAAAGTCTCTAAATCAGAAATGGTTTCCTTGAATGCAGTCAGGTGCTCTTGTTGGTCAATGATTTCTGCATGCAAAATTGTTCAAATTTCACCCACAAAGATGGAACTGTTTTTCTTTTAACACATCCTGTAAATTTTGATTTGATAAGTGTAAATGAACCTGAAAAAGATCTTTACGATCCTTACGTTTTTCCTCATTCGTCCATTGTGCTACCGGCTTCTCATCAAATCTTTCTATTACATCGTTGAGATTTAATTGTGCAACAACATCATGAGTCTTCACCTTCCATAGTGAGAACCTGGTGTTTCGATCCAATAGCGAAATATCATACTTCATTGTTGTCATAATCTTGAACTCGAAGCTCTAATACCAATTTGTTATAATATCGGAACGATGATTATCGACAAACAAATAAACATGATCGAAAAGGAAAAACAAATAACATCAGGATTTACGTGGAAATCCCAAAAGGGAAAAACTACGGGCATATGAGAATAATTTCACTAATATGAAGGAAGAAAATACAAGATGATTTTCGTGAAAGAAAAGAACTTGATATCTAACTCTGACCCTTAGTATCTATTTATAGAGATAAATATTTGATTAGAAAGGAAAACTAAATAAAGTATAAATATACTTTAATAAGTTTTTTACTTTTAATCAAATTGAGTTTCCTACTTTCCCAATATTTATATATTAATTAATTTGTGTCACTTTGAATTTGAGTCAAACTCATATATGGTTTCTCGTTTTGGTTCACCTTTACTGGAATTAGAAATATTCCGTTTAGCTTGACAAAATTTTTTGTCCACTAATATATGTGATTTATGTTAGAAATAATGCAGTAATGATCTTATTATTATGCATTAATAATATTATCTTGTACACGTATATAAGTTTCGAACTGAAAGTCATTTGAAGGATGTGAAATTTTCCAGAAATTTCAAGAGAAATCCAAATGCTATGAGTTTTGGAGCTTCAAGGTTCACTTTAAACGAATGACCTCTTGTGTGGAAGATCACTTGTGCGGAGCGGAGGTTCGTTTGAGCGGAGAATATGGTGATAACTCCAGATGTATAAAATAATTCACATTATAATTGAAGTTGTAATAGGATTCGTTGAGGCACGAATGTATAAACAATCTCGTTAAGACAAATTCGTCCTCTCCTCAAGTCCCTAGAGTTTTGATCTAGCGGAATGTACGGTTTTAGACACTTCATGACGCTCCTTGGTCAGTTGTGCATCTAACTAAACCTTAAACCGCGTCTTGCGTGAACTTAAGTTCACCAAAGATCTCGGACAAACCCTCAAGACTTGGATGGATGCAGAAACTTTAACATCAATAAAATGAGCTAAAATTTGTTGAGAAAAATCAAACCTTGTTTGTGCATTGTCTTATTACTTCACTATCTTCTAAACACAAAAGCAGGCATTCTCCACTGAGCTTGTCACATTGCAGTCATCAATAAAAATCAAACCATAAACTCCACCAGGGTCGGCTTGAAGCAGGTTTCGCAACTTCATATATGATTACATTAGTGTCCAGTGACACCCTAGCCACCATGGTGCTATATGGAGACCAAGCAAGGCAATCAATACGAGCTGTGCGGAACAGCATGTTATTAAGCTCAGTTCATAAGGGATTTGCGCAACCCAGTTAGGTGGGCAAGATCCCTTAGCAGTAAAACGAGCAATCCAATCTGTAACACGGTTGCCAGATCGACATATATGTGAAAAACATACACCAAAAAGTAGTAGAAGCATAATTTTTTTTATCAGAAAACTACAACAGCTGATTCAACCACATTCAAGGCTCTTTAGAGTCAGATTCGACAATCACATGTTACCAGCCGTGTTGATCGATGAGGGATGAACCAAGTCTCAAGGCGAGTGACATTCAACCACAAATGCATTTGATGGTCGCACCTGCGTTGCCATTGATTCCGTCGACAACAGCCCCATCGCTGTTTCGGATGTTGGCGGCAACAATGCTGATTACTAACAAAGGTGGCAATATTTATGCATTTGGTGTCGATTACTAACAGGCAGGACAACCAGATGATTAGGAGCAGTTCAAAGAAATTCATGTACATTTTCTGGATTTCGGACCTTCAGGATCAATACATGATTAGCCGAGTTGATACCTTGAGGCATGATGCTAGCCCTTACTAAGTCACCAACTTCATGTTCGATAATATCCCAAAATTGTTGGAAGAACATATTATCACTTAAATTATTAAATTTCTGCAATTTACTTCTCACCTATAACTTTCAAATTGTTTATAATTTAACATGCATTCCGTTCATTCACGAGTCACATTGAGTTAACGAACAAATCATTTGGATTCATATGACGTGGGATAAAATAATATTTAACAAGTTTTGACTTTTTATTTATTAATTACACCACCATTACTTAAGTTAATGAATTGTTCCACTTAAGTGTCAAGACATAATTTTCATGTATATAATATCATAGAAAAAATTATTTGTAGCTTTGTCCAACGACCTTATCATAAATATATGACGTTCACCTTTTATCAGTTCATTCAATTTAATTATATCTATCTCAATATTTTTTTACAAATAATGTGGTGAAAATGATTACTACACAATATAATATTTAAATTATTTGTCATTGACAAAATAAACTATGGTAATATTCCGTTTTCATGAATCACACAATGTTATCGAGATTATGCATTTTACTCCTTAATCGAATTATGATTTCATATTTTTATAAATATAGTTATATCATGCATGATTTACAACCAATATAATCAAGGTAATTTGCTCATGATAATTTAATCGACTATAAGATATATTTAGACTACCAACCACTATAAGTTATATTTTGCATTATAATCAACTTTATAATACAATTTATAATTAATTGAACCGCTATGTAATCTATGAACTGATATTTATTTATACTTATTACTTTTACATGTAAATCCAAATTTAAGGATATAATATGCATAACAAACAAATAAATGATATACACAAATTTTATTTATATGAATCAATTCAAATAAATTATAATAATTATATAAAATTATTACAATTAGGAAAAATAAAACCATATTCTTTTGCTATCTATAACAATAAATGGTCCTATAGCATAACATCAAAGTTGAGAATCAACTACCAATATGGATTGGTTCAAATGATAAACAATTTAATATAGTTTAAACAAGGTCTCGAGTTTGAATCATTGTGCATGCAAAAAATCTCTGCTGGAAGACTCATCTACTAAAATCAGATGTGCGACGCCGG